AGCCTCAGGAAGATGTCGATCTTCGAGTACAATGGAAGTGCCCTAGTAGCTATGGTGGGCAAGAACTGCTTCGCCATTGCCAGCGATCGGAGGCTCGGTGTTCAGCTTCAGACTATCGCCACCGATTTCCAGAGGATATCCAAGATTCACGACAAGCTTTTTATTGGTCTTTCTGGCCTCGCCACTGATGCCCAGACATTGTAGGAATACTATCACCTCTCAATTCCCCACTTTTCTTATGTTGATTTTTGTTTAATTAAATTTCTTAGTGTTGCTCCCTTCCACTTCAAGGTATCAACGCCTCGTCTTCCGGCACAAATTATACCAGCTTCGAGAAGAGAGGGATATGAAGCCCGAGACTTTTGCCAGCTTAGTTTCTGCTATTCTATACGAGAAAAGGTATATATTTGATCTTATATCATCGAATCAGAATTTTGCACAAGTTCTTGCTTAATTACTGTCATGTTGACTTGGTAGAAGCTTGTGAATTTAGTTACAATGATTCAAAAAAAAATAGGAGAGAGTCATACTGACATTTAAATTATGCCAGCCTCCTGAGTCCAAAAAAAAAAATTATGCCAGCCTCCTTTGGACCTTGAACACTGCATTTTCTCAGTCCTTGTTTCTCTGAACAAAAATGGGAGGACTCCATCTGTAGAGCCAAAATTGAGTAACACTGATTTGCTGTGATATCTTTTATCTATTTTGAGTAAGCCATGTTATCCTATATTTTCTTGATTATGACATTATGAACTTAAAACCGGAGGGACATATGCCAGATTAACTGAACCAGTTGTAACGCTTGATGTCATTGGTCTTGCAAGTCCTGTTCATGATATCTGTCGTTCCAGAAGATGGGGTAAAGGAAGGGAGTTCTGCAGATTTGGATAGTCTTGAAGTCAACCAAAATTGTTTGAATTGAAATTGAATTCAATTAATTACATGTTATCAGTGCATTTTGATTTTATCAATTGAAACCCATGTTGAGGACAAATATGATATAAGCAAACCGTACCTGGTGACCAGCCATACATCATTATTTGAGATATGGTCTGGATGGGTGGTGACATTGATGGTACTAACAAAAACAACGGAAACAAAGGCATGATTGAGAATCAGTGAACTAAGGCAACAAAGTGCTAATGACTTACATCTAATCTGGAGGTCTCTAATTTCTGTATGTGTTGTGCCGGAACTCCTGGGATAAAATATGATCTGAGGCCATAGTGATTAGTGTAGCCATTCCCATGTGTAAAGTTAAATTGGTACAATTTTGGAAGAATTACAAAGAGGTTCCAAGCCAGAAAAATAATCACAAAATAAGTCCCTGAGTTGTTATTTTTTACTCTGAAACTTGTCGTTACAAATTGCTTAAGTTATTATATTGGGATTTTTTAGTAATTATTTTTCTTGTTTAGGACCTCATCGTAATTCTTCAAAAAATTTTCCAATTGAGTGGCCTTAAATTTTCTGGTATAACAACAAGATCAAAAGAATTGTCATTTGCGGACTTAATGCCTTTTCTGCATAGAGGAGGCTTAATGCTGGTTTAAATTTTTTCTGCCCAGTTCAATCATCCTAAATTTTCTGTCGTTCCTCCATAATGTTCAGGGGCTCTTTAAGAATATAAAGTGCAAAAGCAGAATGAGACCCTCCCCAAAGTAAAGATAGCAATTGTAGGATAGCCAATTCTTAATGCTTCATAAGATCAATGAGGTTTAGGAATATGTAATAAATTTAAAAGCATTTTGTTGGTGAATCATGTGTAACTCAATTTTCTGAGTTTGGCTATTATTAGTGGAAACGGTTTTAAAATTGTAGAATGTTGCAAATATATTCAATATGAAATGTAAATGCATTTTTTGCTTTCTAGGTTTGGTCCATACTTTTGCCAGCCTGTAATTGCTGGATTAGGAGATGATGACAAACCCTTTATTTGCACCATGGATTCAATTGGAGCAAAGTAAGTTGACTCTTCTTATAATATCTCTAATTTTTTAAAGGAAATTTTGAATTAGTTCAAACTTCTAATTGCATGTTGGTTCTGCTTATAATCTGTATTCACATTTCTTGCTGAAAACATTCTGTGCATACTAGAGTTGAAAATATTTGGAGAACTGTCAGAAACACATTTAAGCTCTTGAGAGATTAAGAATATGCACAATGCCTGTGACAGCAAAACTGCAAGGAAATTTGGACTCTACTCTCTCTCCCTTCTTATGTCCAACCATTGTTTCCGATGTCATTATGATATGGATGATGATAAAAATGCATGTTAATTTCACATTTATTATGAGCCATATGTTTGTGATGATAACAATATCTTCATATTTCTCTTGTATGCAGGGAGCTTGCAAAAGATTTTGTTGTTGCAGGCACTGCATCTGAGTCTCTCTATGGTGCTTGTGAGTCTATGTTTAAGCCTGACATGGTTTGTGACTAAATTTAGCTTGATTTAATTTTTATAGGACTAGTTCTTTTTGTTTTTTTTGAAAACTTGTGCTTTCATGTATATTATCATCTATATGTGTCGCTACTTGTAATTAAAATGAATACCCAATTAGCATCTTCTGCCCAGTATGTGCAATAACTACCAAAACTTGATTCGGACAGTTGCTAACATTAGACTCAGACTATAATCCTTTTTCTATCATGCAAAATATTATTGTATCTAAAAATTGTTTTATTGAAAACTTATTTTCTACTTATGTATTTTCCAATTTTATATGTTAGTTTAAGAGTGAATTCACCTGGAAGAGAAGTGGCATAAACCCGCCTATGTCCTTGCATGTGTGGCTATATTTAATGTTGAGAAAGTGGTTCTTGCTCTTCAATAGAAGTTAGTTTAGCCGGAATTCCTCTATAGAGAGATAAAGCTCATTTTCTTTCCCATGTTTTCTCGTGTGCCTCAGGAACCAGAGGAATTATTTGAGACCATCTCTCAAGCACTGCTTTCTTCTGTTGATCGTGACTGTTTAAGCGGCTGGGGTGGACATGTCTATGTTGTGTAAGTTTATCATTCTTTCCTCTGGTTTACATATTTCTGATTTTTCTCCTTGAAACTGGAGCTTTTATATCCTCCTTAAATAATGTTATATTCCGGTTTTCTGTTTCTGTAACCATTCAATATTTTGCATCGTAAAGGCTGATTGGTCTTTTGATTGACACTTGTAGTACGCCAACTGAAGTAAAGGAAAGGATCTTGAAGGGAAGAATGGACTAGCTTTCAAGCCATCCGGTGACCCATTTCACATCCTCTTGTCTGCTTAATTCAGGAGCTGGATGGGAGATCATTTACCGCCTTTTATGTTAAGGGTTACCTTTTCATTATGGCGCACTAAAAGGATGTTCCAGTTCCTGTAGTTGGTGCCGCTTGTTATGAATTAAATCATCAAATGCTCGAATGTGTTATGGGTACCTCCGATTCCTTGTCCGCTCAGCATATTAATGACAAGGATGGTTCAAATTTAAAATGTCTAATCTCCAATTTGTTATAATTATGAATTTATTTTTTTAATTACAAGGTTACTTTTATTTTAGATTTTACGTCTATTAAATTTTTTTTTTTTAGCTCATTTGATCAGCATAGGATTCTGATACCCATGCTATTGATCAGATTCCACGGGAGGTTTGTTTGATTATATTGATATTGATGGTGGGTAGAAATGGAATGACATCAAGCAGCATCTCCCTCGTATTACGGAGTAGAGTTTGCTGCATGTCAAAGAAGCTGAAAGTTTGTGGGCAAGAATCATCAAGCCGGCAAAAATAAAATAATTTTCTCCACGAATAGCATTATAGCAACCGGGGGGGGGGGGGGAATGGGTTCTGGAATATTGGGAAGAGCAGTGAGTGTGAGAATTGTTGTTTGCCTCGGTCATGTGGCTCTTCTGGAGACGACAAAGTCAACGAATCGTTGCGAGTATTGCTTCATCTTTTGTTATAAGATCATTTTAATTAAATTGTACGGTTTAAGAAAACAGTTAAAATTAGTGAAAAGTAATTAATATGTAGTAAATGTAATTTTTTTTCAAATATACCCCTATATATAAATGGGTAGATGTGAGAGAGTAATAGTGAAATAAATAAAGAAAGAGAATGTAGTAAATGCATTAAACTAAGAGTAAAATAGGTAATAATACATTAAATGTTCAGACAAACTCAAAAAGAATCTTATAAAAAGAGACAAATCTATTCAAAAAATTAAATCTTATAATGAGGGACAGAAGGAGTACTTAGAAGCTTCCCCCAATGAATTTTTATTTAGGCATTATTTTAAAAAATGGCTCGATCGTTTGTGTTTTCAATCTTTTCCTCGATTAACTCAATCCCCAAAAGTTGCATCAGATCCCAATCAAGAAAACAAAGCTTATTAAGATGATTTAAAACCCTGCTCAGATGAAAACAATGACCCTGTCGTTGGAGCCTGAAGATGGTTTACTTTTTATGGTGTTAAATAAATGTCTCTATATGGTGTCTAACTCGAGACAAAGTTGCAAATTGATGAATTTGCAAAATAGAGACCAAATGCTGGCAAAATGCTAAATCCCATTATATAAAGAAATTAGATGTAAATGCACGTTATTATTCTTTACAAGCTTCCGTCCATCAAGTGAGCATAAGACTGGCAAACAAGAGGGTGGTTATGATTGGTCACCACCAATACTAGAAAACTCAACCAAATCCGGAACGTCGAATGAATCTCATTTTCTCGTGGACTCCCAAAACCCTATTTACATAACCAATTAAGCGACTGCCTATGATAATTCCATCTCACCCCCGCTAGTCATTGTTCACATTAGACAATTTTCCTCCGGTTCTCTATTTGCAAGCATTCTATGTCATCTCAAGTAGACATCACAAATGCCTCAAGCTTTGTGTGCCACCTATTGATTCAACTTTTGAAGAATAATGAATCCTGAAAGCACATCCATCTCTAGTACCTAAAGCCGCCTAGCTTCCAGAATTATTACATCGCACTATGTGAGGTTGGGCCATCATTGGGTCATTGACAACTACTGGATTGCGAACAACTACACACTTACATGGGAATTCGATGTATCTGTTACATCAAAAATGTGCAAGGAAACCATACACATCAACTTGTACTAGAAAACAAAGATATATCAGCTATCCTACTTTCAGATTCCACCGAAACTAGCAACCAACATAGAGAAACAGATCAGAAGACTGCAAAACGGCACAATCATCAAGAGACTTGCACTGAGAATCATCCTCTGCTGAAAGAACAGTCTCTTCGGTGTGACGATTCTATCTAGAACTCTCAAACCCTCTTGAAGAATGAAAGAATATTGCCTTGTTTAGGATCCTTCGACTTTCCCACTTTATGGTTTCCTCCTTTCCCAGTAGGATTAGAAGTGGCATTGGCTGATGACTTCTTAGCTGCCGGAGCCCTGGAATTTCAGACCCAATGAATAAATAAATTCATTCTTAATAAGTTCACTCTTGGAAATAAGGCATGACGCATGGAGATATTAACAGTATGAAGCACGAAGGGAGTCTCAAGCTACAGAATTCTCGCTGCAGAAGTTGTCTAACATGGAGAACCGACAGGTGGCATGAGTGGTGAGTTATGCATATCCTTAAATTGTTCATATAAGAGGAAAATCGTAATTTAAGTGGGTTTTTTTATATGATAAACATGTTTCATATCTTACATCAAAACTTTAAGTAAATATGTAATTGTTTACTCAAGACTAACTGACCTAAAATGGTTAACTTGACTTGTTTAAACCCTTAAATAACAGAATAATTCACTGTTTCAGGCAAAGTGAATGCATATTTAAATAAAAACAAACAAACATGGCATACAAAGCATTCCAAATGAGATCCCAAATTCATGGAATCTTCCTCCTCATTCATCAAGGAGGCAAAGTGTTATTGGATCCAAAAAAATCGGTGTTTGTACCACCACTCAAACCAATGACAAATTTATATCCTCTTGCAACGAATAAATAAAAAGGATGAACTCTAACCTGTTGACAGTAGTGGTGGATGCATCTTTGTCATCTTTCTTTACGGGAGCATTATCAGCTTTCTTTGCTTCTGTTTCCTCCCCCTCCCAGACAACTTCGGTCACTGGAGAAAAAATTAGCACGCAAACAAGATACAGATTAGATTATATAACAAAAGGATCCTTGCCAGGTAGTACTGGAATAACACTCAAAAAGTACTAATAATGATGTTGCAACAGAAATTAATCCTTGGACAGGAGCTTTATCACCCAAGTCAACCAATATCACAAAAGTGTCAACAAGAATCACTCTAGTACAACTGCAGAAAACATGCACTTGAGAAACACAAGCACAACATTCACAGATAAACACGAGACAAAAGAAGCAAGTCAGTCGCTAGCTTTCAAGAGGTCAGTTCTCTCTACTTTCTCTACAGAATTCTTCATTACCTTTTCTCTGTCATTTTACCCTTCAAATACCCTTTCCACCAATTCCCGAAACCTCTCCCCCCACCCCGACCCAAAAAAAGAAAAGAAAGAAATGAAAAGAAAAAGGAATAATCATTTCCCACCTTTTACGCCTCTCATTCCCTTTTTTCCCCTTCTGTATGGCCCGTATGAGTGGGTTGAGTCCATTCAAAGATAGAAATAATGAACTATGGATAATGAAATTGCTTGGGATTTCAATATAAACAACCCCCAAAGCATGCAAAAGTAAAGGTGCCAGGTAGATGATTTTAAAAAAAAAAATTCCTAAAAAAAAAAGAAAATAGTGAAGCCCATATTCATACATAATTATAGCTCATATTCTGAGGCCATAGTGAAGCTGCATTGTGGAAATAATGCATCTATGCATACAAGTACCTTCTCTCCCACGTTCATCAATCCTTGTCTTGAGCACTTTCCTCCTTTTAGGTGAACAAGGAGCAGTATTCTCAAGATTATCCTTATTATTTACACTAACTTCAGGAGCACCACTATGAGTCTTGTCAGCAGATGACTTCCCAATATTTGTGCACTTGCTGATAACTGAACCGTCTTCTCTTGGTGATTGGTTTGTGTTCTCTTCCTTAACCTTGCACATATTGTCAGTCTGCATGTTGTTTGAAATGCCATTCTCTAATGAACCTTTATCATCATGTTTGTGATCCTGAGATGTCTGCCCTTTTGGTAACTCAGGTGATGCTAGACTAATAACATCTTCCTCATCTTCATCTGAGAAATCAAGGACAACTCTCCTTTTCCTGGAACGTTCACCGGCTGATGATTTCCTTAACGTAAAATCTTGACTATCATTATCGCTGCTACCACCGTCTCCTTCTTCACGAGCACTAATTTGGGCATCTGCACTAGCAACTGAAAAGAGGGAGGGGGTGGACAAAACTTTAGTACCAATAATCATACTGGAGATGCCTTGTATATTTTGCTATTACTATCACCCCAGAAAAAAAATTGAAGATCTGAATCAACCCAAAGGGAATAAACTGCAATGAAAACCAACCAATAGAATTTGACACCGCATTACTATTATCTACAGGAACAGAGGAAGGCTTAGATTTTGCAGATGCACGACCCCACAAATTTGCCAATGAACCTCCAGCAGCAGAGCTCTTTTCAGCTTGCACTTTCTTTTTGCCTGTGGGCAAGGGGAAGAAGGCCTTTTCTTTATCTTCAGGTTTATTGGCATGCCCAGAAGTTCTAGTATTTACTGTACTATGGCTTTCACTTTTGACATCTTTCACCACATTATGTGATTGGGCAGAAACTTTTGGAATGGATTCCTGTATACCCAGGCCTGCTGCAGGTTTTGCCTGTTGAGCAGCAGGAAACGATTGTGTGCTATCTGCATTCCGTCGAACAAAGGAATTTGAAATACCACAGAACCTAATAAATACAGAAGTCAACAATGAGCAAGCCCCATAGATGTCTCCAAATCGTAAGGAAAAAAAATAAAACGTACATCATATCTAATTCAAGGACCGATATATAGTGCATCTGCACAAAAAGAACAATATGGAATGGGCAGAGTGAGATTTGATAAACAGAAATTCAATTAGATGCATCCTTTGCTGAAAGGTAGGAATGCTAAGAATTGAAACTGACAGTAATCAGTTACTATAAGGCGTCCACCAGAAGACTGAGATCTTAAGATCGGGACTGCTTATTAAATATTGATCCAAAAAGTTTTTAATGGCAATAAACTCATTTTACTATGTCATAGCAATTCTTCACTTATAAATCTGTCTCTTCTAGTTAACTGCAAACAACGTAAGTCTTCAAAAACATTTTCACCAAATTTCTTAAAGGAAAAGAAAAAATTTGACCATCATTGATCTCATATATATCATACCAGATCCCATCAATCAAATAACTTCTTCAAGAAATACAAGACATCTAAGTCATATAAGGAAAGCAACCTATTCCTTAACAGGAAATAGGACAAAGGTGAATGGTGAATGGATAGACCATGAAATAGAATCTTGGGTCTCAATCAGGGATTCAATTCCAACAGACATCCATTATTGAATTCACATAACCCAAGAATCCAATATCCCTTTTGGAAGCGTCCATTGATGAACTTGACAATCAATAACTATAGACAAACAGACTTTAGAATATTTAAAACTCCAAATATCCTGATTTGAAATATCAAAATGCCTGCATGCTATCACAAGCACAAGTATACACAGCTCAAAAGACAAGGCCCCCACCTGTTATCTCTCAGACAATTATCTACTGAGGAAGCCTGCTTGAAGAGCTCCTCTGCTTGAATAAATTCTGCATTCCAAAGCACGGCTGGATCCTTTGGAATGCTAGCTTGCACGCTATAGACCTGAACTGAGCAATTACCATCAAATTCCTTTTGTGCTTCTGCAAAAAATAAAGCAAGCAGTTCCGCATCATTCTTAGCCCTAAATGTTTGCAAACCACTCCATATTAGAAACAAAAAGAATAGCTTAATTAAGCTGTTCATGTTAAATTACAACTGAGAATAATAAGAATCTATTCCAAAATTACTAAACCAATTCACGTTTTTGTAGAATCAGTTATCAAGTGACACTATAACCTCAATGGGAAAATGGAAAATTAACTAATCATAAGAGCAGTAAAGAAAATATGATGCCATAATATATGAGATGAGTTACTTTTGTAGCGCTTTGGATTAAAGCTTAGCAATATAAGCAGAGCAAATCCATTTCAACCCAAACATTTGCAGAGTTGATTTGAGTAAAATTTCAGGGCATAATTTTAGCTCAGTGGTGTAGCCCAATATAAGCAGGTGGATGTGATATATGCTGGAATCCAACTGACCAGGATATATAACAAGAATACCCCAATGCCCACAGTCAAAGTGAAACGACCTAGAACAACCACTGTTTTCTGTTAATTTCTCCGTAGTTATCAAGTTAGACTTACAGTCTCCCAGATTATTCCTAATCTGAATATATTTTGGAGCTCGAATTACATCACAATCTAGAAGAACCATTGTTTTTAAGGTTTGCAGAATGACCATACCTGCAAGCTTTGGCCCAGTAACAAGTCTTACATGGTAACTTGGAGGAGTACTCTTTAACCAGCCAGACAACTTGTATATCACTTCAAATCCAGTTCCATGCTTTTGAACAAACTCCTGAAGCAACCTATATATATGTGTGTGTGTAAGGAAAAAAAAAAACTTTCAACTACTAATAAAATCACACACGTAGAACATGAACAGATGTTCAGCCAATATTTTGTTTCCAAAGAAGGAGAAAAAGAAAAGCTTACCTCTTCGCAGCATCAGATGACACCATATAATTGCGGCTTAGCCATTTGTAAGATACCTGAAAGATGCCATAAAGTATACTTACGAGACAGTGATCATAGAGAGAGAGAGAGATCATAACAATGGGAAAACAATTGCCTAAACTATTTTTGCAGACGAGGGAGATAATCAGAATAAAATCACAAGGGATAGCAAAGTAAGAGGGCGGAACAGAGGCATTGGAAATTAGCAGATAGCAGTAGGCAAGGGAGGGCTTTTTATAGCATAATTTTCTGATAGACTTTGGCATGGACTTTCAGCCATCTTAATAAAAACCTGATTCCCTTTATAATGATAGAATCTCATATATAAGTTCCCTAAATATTTCGCTCTGTAAAGATTTCCAAGAGGAACTAAAAAGAAAGCAATTTAGAATTACACCCCAAGTACTCCCTTCGTTCCCTTTTATAAAATATCTTTCAGAAGGTTTTGATGTTTTTATTCATAAAACGTTTTACAAAATCTAGGCAGTAATTAATGTCCCAACATTTTTGATTCTCAAACCAATTGTCGGTATGGATTATTCTAGTGCGCAGAAAATGTGATACAGCGCAAGAAACTCTCTCTATAACTGATGGAATGATATTCATTAAGCAGTAACCAACCAGTTGTGACCAATATGGTTTCAACCTGAATAGAAACTCAGAACCCAAAAGCATCAAAGACAGACCACAATGATGGTTGGTCATGATATGTATGCCTCCATGTTGTCAGGAAATCATAAAATTAGCTTTTAAGAAATTATGTGAACTAAAATGTGAATCCCATGCTTTGCTCAGATAATGATTGATCATGAATCCATATAGATTTCATTACACACACACACACACACACACATTTCCCATATAGATGTGTGTGTGTGTGTGGATTTCCCGAAAGTACAACTTCTTAAAAGCAATTTTCAGTTAGCAATTTCTACTAGGGCTATTATTAGAATTTCAAAAGCACGCTTAAATTTTCCATATATTAGAATTTCAAGTTGTATAGTGAAATTATGGCCCAAAAAATAAGGTTTGTTAGGTAAATTTTAAAGGGTTGCCGAGTCCATAGTTCATACAAACCCCACGCGAGGATCACAATTCCAAGTTTCGCCTATCAAAACACCTTTATCCTTGACTCACTCTCAGTAATCATATTCCAACAACCAAGGCACTAACACTTCTACCAAATAACGAAATTAGGACGAAAGCGGGAAACTTTTAACAAAATCCTCCAAAATGTAAACCCAAGAAAATAATTAAGCCCAAATATATTAAGTTACAAGAAGAATCACTGAAAATCGTGAGTGTAAAAATGTAGAAGTAGTATAAAATCCAAGTAAATCTGCGCAAAACAGGAAAGTACACGGAGGGAAGAGTGAAGAGGGTTACCACTTGGAGCTTATCCGAAACGAGGGATTCAATATCTTCAAGTACACCTAGGGTTTCTGTTTGCGCCATTATCGCCTAACCTATCAAGACGACGATTGTAGCACGAACAAACGAAGCGAACAATTCTTCTGAATTCTGATGCTGCTCTAAAGTTCCATTTTCCCTCCGGAAAGGGCTCTCATTTTCCCGCCAACCTCTACACTTCCGGGTCGCCCTCTAACTCACCTTGAGGTCCATTACTTGAAGTCTTGAACTCGCGGGTCCTATCCCCATTGGGCTGGAGTGACCTAGTCCATCTCCAGTCTTTTTTTAGTTAATTTCAAAAATATTTTTTTTTTAATTTATGAATATTTTGATTCGATATAAATTAGATTCTGTTACATTTTTTTCCCAAAAAATTAGATTCTGTTATATATTGATATATTCTTATTAAAATAATCCCCTTGTAATAATAGATAATACAAAGGGGTCTACAAATTTTAAAAATTAAAAACAAGTAATATAAAGATAAACTATAATAAGCGAATTTTTACCTTTTTTACCGAATTTTTTTTAATTTTTATGTAATTAATATTTTAAATTATTATTAATATCAATAATGAAAAGATTAAAACAATAAATTATCTTGGTAAAAATATATTTATCTGAAAAAGCTCCCTACCCCCTACTGTGGCTTCGCCATTGTTGTCCGTGCATATACGCCAAAAATATTTTAGTAATAATTAAAAAAATTAAGAACAAATCAAACATATGCATGACTATTCATACAGAAACTAATGGCTTAATCAAAATAAGTGCGGAATAAAAGAAGGATGTGCCGCGATTAAAATAGTTGAATCAAAATATTGACACATGAAAACTGCAATATTTACGACATTGTGAACAAACGTGACTTCCAACATAGAACACAAGTCTAACACTTCATCAATTATTATTGGGTTAATATAATTTTTTTTTTTGGATTTCTCCTCCGGTATCCTAGGGAAATAGGCGTCTTTCAGCCGTGACAACGTCCCCAGACTAATCCGGAACGAGGGCTTGCAAGGAACCTTTCGGTCGGCGCCCTCTGGCCCCTCAGGGTGCTGCATTCCCACAGCTCGAACTCGAGACCTGTGGTTAAGCTAGGACAGCCCCAGCCAGCTGACCTAACCCCTCGGGGTTAGGTTAATATAATTTTTGATTTCTCAAATTTATCCTCATTTTGATTTCAGTCTCTCAAATTTCAAATCATAGGTTTTGATCCCTATAGGACCAAAATGACCTATGTTTTTTATTGAATTATAGGGGGCCAATATTTTAAATAAAAAGAAATTTGATGATTAAAATTAAATTGATAACAAACTTGAGGAGCAAAAAGTTGTATTAATCCATTATTATTTATAACTCACATTTAAATAATTTATTCAAAGTTTAAAAAAATTGATTAAAGTCAGTTGATTATTTAAAAAAAAAAAAAGAAGAATACCCCATCCTTTGACAAGTAACTTTAATTTAATGAAACTGATCTTAACCACACTCAATACATATCCCTCTTTTCATCATAATTACTCAATAATATTCATTCAAATGGCATCATTAAAAAAATATTTATTGTTTCATACATTTTATAAAATGCCATTTAAGGACTAATTTGTTTAAGAAAGTTGTTGGGAGTCTACCGGAACTTTAAGCTAAATACGAGGGACATGTTAAAAAAAAATCTTTTTTCAACAGCTTATCAAAATAAATTTATCAAAGCAAATTTTTTTAAACAAAATCTTTATGATATAAAAAGCGAATGCTTAACTAACCAAAATATTTTTTTTATGATTTTAAACAAACTAGCTCTAAATAAAAGAATGAAAAGCTTTGAAATAGTAATAATATAAATAAAATCTGGTCCATGAAAATGACTGATCTATCCCCTGTAACTCCAAAAGAAGAGATATAATATAGACTTACATAAAGGATGATTTGCAGTGTACCATGCATTAATCAGGATTGGAAGGGAATCTAATTGAAGAGAGGAAGAAGACGAAAGGAATGTTGGAAGAGAGACAGAAATAAAGCATATTTTGTAAGGATAATTTGCAGTGTACCACTCTGAATATTCTTTCTGAAGCATGTCTCCCTCGTTCATCTGTCACTGTTTTGTCTTCCAAATTTTATCAACACATTATTTTTTGAAATTATCATTTCCCCCAAACGTTAATTTTCGTTCTACCTACATCACAGTAAGTTGTAGTAAACGATTGTCTCCTCTGTTCTATTGTGCAAAAAATTGTAGCCTTTTGTTTTAGGAGATTTGCCCAGAATATATATATATATATCTTCATTAGTCTTAAATTTGTTTTAAGAAAAAAATCACAGTTTTTTAGATATCCTTCATTAAGAATTTTATGAAAATTGAGCATATATAACGAGGGAGGCTTCTTACTTTTTCAAAATATCACAAAAATCCTCCTAATAAGTCTGTAAAATCTGATCAATTTAAGACTTCAAAATGACCTAATGGTTGTGAAATACCTCTGGATTAGTTTGAAATGAAATTTGCAGCAAATTTACTTAAATGCCCTTGATTTAAAATATAAAGAACAAACAAACAAAATGACAATAATAGTTTAACGTGTGACAAACTTTAACTTATCAAACGACAGTATCAGGTAAGAGAGTGACAACTAATTTTATCAACAATAATTAGATCATTTCATTAACAAACTTAATTCCAAGATAGTATCTAACATTTTTATGGGAATTAAGTTAGGTCCCCTTGGCATTCCAATGTTTCAATGATCCTTTTATATATGCGTCTGTGTCTTTCTCCCCTTTTGAACGTGGAAACCTTAATTAAATTTTCTTACCGTTAAGTAAAAGTGAAAGAGCATATATAGGTAGGAAGAAGCATAGCTAGGTGCATGGATTTGATATGTATATCTGTATGTTTTTCAGAGAGCTTTTGCCAATTTGAATGGACTCACAACACACACATACGTTACTTGTTTGGTTTGAAAAGGAATCGGATTCTGCTATATCTAATAAAGCTGGTTTGGAAAGGGAATCAAAACTGCGTCCCTCGCCTTTTGTGGCAACTTTTAGACCTGACCTCCCAGTCTAGAGCTTCAATATGCCATTCAAAATATACAGCTCATCGCCATCAAAACCACGATATGTTGATTAATTAGAGTAGATTAAGAAAATTAGTTAAATCAATTAGTTGTAATAAATGTGTTTTTTATCTTGAAATATTCTTACTAATCATGTGTATTAACCAGAATTTTTAACATGTACAACTAATAGAAAGACTATATTGAAAAAATAAATAAATATAAGAGATAAAATAAATTTAAGTACTATATATAGAACCAAATTAAATGTCAAACTAATTCTTATATAAATTAAAGATGGGAGGCAGTAACTCATTATATCTTCCACAATTTTTGTCGGAAATTTTGCAAACCCATATATGCCACACGACGACACAAGAGTTCCTAAACAAAATACATATAACTAATATTAATGTATGGCCAAAGCAGGAATGAAAATCAAAGTAGGGTAGGGGGTGTGTGTGGAAATGAAGTACAAGAAGGGTTTGGTGGCTACGCGGTAACTTGTAAAATATTTCACATACCGGTCCTACTAGTGTGTGTACATATATACATATATATATATATATATATATCTGTGGGGATTCCAATATTAAATAGGTAGCTCATGATTTGTTTAATTTGGACCACATATATTGTTGGAATTAAAAGTTGTGTAGTGCCCACATGCATCCATATACACACATAAGCCAACCCAAAAGTAAATTAAGATAAGATCATCACTTGCATATATATATATATATATATATATATATCTGAGAGACACAGAACATAACTTTATCTTAAAAGGAGAGTATATAATTATATTTCCTCTATATATGCACCTTAGCTTCCTCCTTTACCATCCTTCATCTTCATAAGCACATAAAAGCCTGCACAAAACATCTCATCATCAGAAAGTATGCGTGTGTATTAAAGTTTACTGTATTACTTTACTGCTGGTTATTTCTTAAAATTGCCACCTATATATGTATTCTTATACTGGTTTTGAAAATATGACAGAATCTATAGATCTTAGTTAATTTACACCCTTCACATGGCGGTGGAATATTATCTCACAAAACAATATAAAGCAAATCGAGTATATATTACAAAATTGCTTATTGGAATACTGCAATATGTAAATCATCTATATATGTAGTCTTATCATTCATAGAAAGGTTTGCGTTATGAATTGATCTGAGTTATTGAAATGTTTTAGATTCGTAAGAAGCATTATGAGTAACAAATTTGAGTATCAAGTGCGAATCCCTCTGAGTAAAGTCCAAGTGTACGTACTTGCATTGATTTGGTTAAAATCTGAGATACCAGTCGGTAAGTCAAAAACTGAAATTTGATAATTAACTTCACAATCAAGTATAACGAAGAAGGAGGAGATGAAGGAGAAGATGAAAATAAACTATGAATAGAAGGAGCGAAGAAGGAATAAAGAAGAATAAGACACGTACAGTAATGAAATCAAAGCAAACTAAGCGTCTCTTCTTCCAGGCACTCTTGGCTTTCTTGAGTTTTCTGAAGAGTTGATCGTCGGAGTAGATGATGTTGCCGGCCGGCGAGGCCAAGTACGCACTTCGTCTGACCGGAGGAGACCACAGCCCACTCTGCTCGTAATCGAAATCGAATTGAGACGCATCGAAGAACTTTCCCAGAAGCCTCTCCGACACCGACTTTGACACCACCAGAGTTCTGCGGCTTGCTGTTGCTGTGCTGATGAACGTCGACGACGTCGTGTTGGTTTCTTCGGACGGCGACGACGATAATGAGGGAGAAGAATAAGATGAAGAGCCTTCTGACAGAGACATTGATGAGCGAAGGGAACAAAGGACCCCAGAGAGGCAACAATAATGATAACTGATATGATGTTTCGATCTGATATAACATAAAACAGGTCAGGAATTTGATGCTGTGCACTATGTTTGGTACCAAAAAGGGTAATAAACATATAAAAAAAATGGAAAATGACGTAAAAAGTACTAAAACTCAAAATAGATTTGTTTTTCACTTTGGCCGTATTTTACTTTAAAATAACAATACATTTTTACAAGAATTCTTCATTTAAGATTACACAATTTTCAAAAAAAATTTGTCATTCTCCCATTAAAAAAAAGGAAAAATTAGTTGAAAAAAAATCCTTGTTTAGCATACACTTATGTCATTAAAAACGATGAATCTTACTTCCTTGTTATAAGGAATTAGTCTTTTTTGATAAACCAAATCTTATTATACTCCTCCGGTCCTAAATGTAAGACCTTTACACACTCTTATATAAGGGTCTTACATTTAGGACAAGAGGAATAATAGATATTAATTATAAGATTTTATTTGTAAATTATAAATAAAATCTCATAATTAGAATCGGAGGTAGTAGGGTGGTATGTGCCGACTTCCAACTTGTTGAAACTTATTGTGACGCCACACTCCAGTGTTTTGTGATTTACTTTCTTTTTTTTTTAAATCAACAAAAATGTGATTTATTGCATGCATGCCTAAAGCCTAAGGGCATTTTTATCATTATCTTCACCAACAAAAAAAAAAAGGTTCAATCTATCATTATGAACTTTTTTATGACTGTCTACGAGTTCACATTTGTGAGGCCTGAGTTAGCTTGCAGGTGATTAATGGAAGATTATCTATAATCCATTATGAGCATATATTTAGAGCAATTATTGTTAAAACTATATGCATCTTTATCTTATTTTTAAATCTCTATTTTAATTAAATTATATTATTTTCAGTAAAATAGTCTAAACAACAAAAGTATCCCACCAAAAAATGTTAAAATTATCAAATTTCAAATCAGGTTAATAAGTTTTAACAATACTTGATTTGCAAATAATAACATTTTTTTAAAGAATTTTTTATTTAAAATTTAGTAATTTCAATTTTTTTATGAAATTCTCCGTTCTGTCATTTTCACGTAAGCATAATCAGAGGCATCACACCAGAAATAAAAAAGCAAATATTCAACCAATATAAGTGCCCCACCCCTCAAAAAAGAAAAATCAACTGTAAGGACCAGTAATCAATTTGGCCCTATCACCACCAAATTGTGTGTGAAATGATTATTTAATTTTCCGGGCATCAACTGAGCTGCTGATCATAATTGTGGACTTCATCACATGCTAACAGTATTCCTTTTTTTTTTTTTTTGAATGCAAGGTAATGTAAAACCAATAAACATAACTATATTGATGGTCTAATAACGGAATCAAGCTGAACATTTGTGCATATATATATTTGATCCACATAAGATTTTTGAAAAATAAAAACCTACAAATATATAAATCTTGCATTTGGAATATTGTGTGTTTAGATTAGTGTTTGCCAAGCTGAAATTTTCACAAAACTAAAGCTTACCAATTCAAATGTGGGTAAATCTAAATTAAATTGTTTTTTTTTCCTAATCTAACCTAAATTATCGGGTTGAGTGAAAAATTAATTGAAACATATATAGTTTTAGCTCCTCAAACCTTGAATCCAAATAAGTAGTTTATTTACACCTATTATAAATCTCACATCAGGAGTCCCAAATTTAAGAGGCTCTCTCATTTCATACGATACTCCTTCTATCTTTTATTATAAGATATAAGTAATCAAATTGCGTACGTACTTTAAGAAAGTTGTTAAACGTTAAATCGTTAAAATTAGTTAATTTTCCTTTTGACTTCTTCCTGTAACTTTAGTGTTTTCACTTTTCATTGAGAAGCCTGTGTTTATGAAAAGGGTTACTCATAAAGAATTGGCAAGGGGCCATTTGAATTACTTTGACCTAATAGACTAGCTTTTTTTTTTTTTTTTGGAATGATGAGTTATTCTTTTGGATTTGTGCTCGTAATTGCTCCTAATCAATTTTAGTTGTGGATGCATTATTCCTCTCGAATATGTAATATATCAGCAAATGAGATTTTAACCCATAAATTTGAGTGCGTGGTCAATTATTATAAAATGAAGAAAAATATGTAAAAAATTTATATTTGAAAATTTTACAAGTCAGAATGACCGGAATTTAGTATCGGTGGTTTTTATGCATAAAAAAAAATATCAAGTCATTTTGATAAGTGAAAAATATATCAAGCCATTATGACCAGTAAAATTTTGAGGAATAATGAATCATAAGAACATTTGTGTCTATTGCTAGCATGGCCAACCCTAGGATACTTGTTTTGAATTTCCCTCTCTGTTGTGTAGGCAGTAAATTAGGCTGCACATGCATACCGCATATGCATGAAATATCCCTGCATCGTAAAAGATCTTCATGTGCATTATATTTTTGTCTTCTTCTTTGATCCTTTCACATTAATTAATTAGGAGTATCAATTAATAGGAAGCCACGTAATTACCTAAACAAATGAGCAATACTGACTTTGTAACCAAATCGACAGATTATTTGGCCTACATATCAATTCCCTCGTTCCTAATAACATCGACTTGAAGAAAGTTTCAAATTACTCTAGTCCTATTTATAAGACAGAGAGAGAAAACATATTTTGGTCCTATTTATAAGGTATTGCAAAATTTTTTTGGCATGGATGTACAAGTTTACCCTTATTTTATTATTATATTGACTTCATTTATATAGGGTATAATGAAAATTAAATAGGGATAAAGTTAAAAAACTTTTAAGTTTTAAATAAGAGTTAATAAAGTTTAAAGTTTTTCTTGATTTGTATAAAATATATTATAAGTGACTTATAAATAGGACTAAAGGAATACCTCCTAAAGAGAGAGAATTCATTTTCCCATTTTACGGTCACTTTTGATCTTGCCTGCATTGCAACGCCCACAACAATTGTTTGTTCTGAAATTTCACCTTTGTTTCTCAAGGAGAGAGGGACTCTCCACTTCCATCCCCTTTATTTCCCTTCATCAGATAAAAATTTTAATGAATTTTCTTCTATTTTTATGATTTTGTTTACTTCAAATATTAATAGCTTAAATTTATTTATGTATTTCTTATATAGAATTATAATAATAATTTAATAAAAGATTACTCCCTCTATTTTTTTTTTTACACAAAAAGATAATTTTAGGCATCTCTTATTTCTATTTATAAGAGACCCTTATAAACTTTTTTTGGTTAATTACCCCTGTTTATATCATTGCATTTATCATCAAGATAAAATGTTTAGATTGCAAATTCTCTCACTTATGCTTTATTTTCTCATAAATAAGGATACTTTGTAAGATAAATTATTTTTTATATATATTTATCATTTCTAACTAATTTTAACTAGCTTTTTTTATTAACATGATTTGACTGATTATCACTCATACAACAAACGGATGGAGTGAATCTCAAGTGTTAAAATTTTCACATTATAGTGATGGAGGAAAATGTAGGGGAAGGAAGTTAAATGATGAAATCCCTCTTCCATTTCTCAATTGTTTTTTTTTTTTTGCCCTTTCCATCTCTCAATTGCTAGGTTTCATCCATAACATAGAAAGGGAATGTACTATAAATATTCAATTAATGCCTCCTCAAACGGTCAACATCTAAATAAATGTGCATTTTACTTGAGGAATAAAATGGACATGCACACTCTTCGCCGATACCCTCCTTTTGAATGAGTGACTACTTGGATTCTACTACAGAGTGTTTGGATAGAAACTAAACTATGATTTCAGAAGTGTTTTTACGGTTTATAAAGTAAATATGTGAATGAATTTACTTTATTTTGCAGAAAAGTGCTTCTAAAACCATAGTTTGGAGGTTGCCAAACACTTCTTATATTATCATAAATACTTTTCCTTAATCAGATGGGATTTTATGTTGACCCATAAATAAAAAATTTCACCAATATAGACTACATTATAAAATAAATTACAGCCAATAGTCTTGTGATCTTGTAATGCGCCGGTCACTTTTATTGGCGGCAAATCGCGGGTTTAATCTCCCACGTAGTCCCTTATATTCAAACAAATTTTAATATGGAATAGTAATAGTAATAAATATTTTAATGATTCAATCAACTATGGGGACTTTAATTTCTTCTTCTTTTCTCTGCCAACAGACTTTAATTTCTATATGAGGTATGAAATATTTTTTATATATAAATAATGTGGTCAGACATGAGTTTTTATATTTTTTATGTATATATTAACCAGCAATCATATTAGTAATGATGTATTAATAATTGGTGATTGGATGATATTCATGAATCATGAATATCATGTTGATGATTATATTAAGGGTTAATCTAATATTTCGTCTATCAGGTTTGCTTTCATTTTAATTTTGGTCAAGTTTCAAACCATAAATTTTAGTACTTCAATGAATAAAATAATTCAAATCTTTATTGGATTATAAGACTAATATAATAAATAAAAATAAATTAAAAAAATCAAAACTTATAATTTAAAATTTAAAAAATCAAAAGTAAAATGAAGACAAATATAATGGAATAAAGTTCGTATTAACCTTTATATTAATTAATAATCAATAATCAAGTACTGTTAAAATATGAGTGAGGATCATGGTAAAAGAGATGGAGATCACCGTTGAGAAGCAGAGCTTCTTTCATTCACATTTTCTGGTGCTTTTTTAAACGTTTTCACGTTTCCGGCTTCACACTGCACGGAACCACAGCCACTGTCTGCAAATCCCCTTCCTTGCTTTTCTTCCTTCTCTCTCACCTGAAGAGAAGAGAACCAAACAACTGCAAAGGCAATGGCTGGCTATAGAGCGGAGGACGACTATGATTACCTCTTTAAGGTAGTCCTGATCGGCGATTCGGGAGTGGGCAAGTCCAATCTTCTTTCCAGGTTCACCAAGAATGAGTTCAACCTCGAGTCCAAGTCCACCATTGGGGTTGAGTTCGCTACTCGCTCCTTGAACGTTGATAGTAAAGTCATTAAAGCTCAGATCTGGGACACTGCTGGCCAGGAGAGGTCCTATTTCTTCTTCAACTACGCCTCTTGTTTATCTTTTTTTCCTATTCCGTGTCTCTTTTAGTTAGTTCTTTCTTTGATTTGAGCTGACAAGGATTTGGTGGGGGCGTGTCTGAGATTTTGAAGTCGTTTGCTAAAATTGGCCGTAGTTGCTTGCTTCACTTGCCAGAATGATATTGATATGTGGCTCTTGAAGTTTGAACTGATAAAAAAAGCTAGCTGAATACGGTCCTAGGTTTTGCTTCAAAATGAAATTACAGCGACTAAAATTAAAAAAAAAATTGCTCTAGATGGTTAATTTGATATGAGGATCTATTTTTCTTTGTTCTTAAGTAACTGAAACATTTCCCGGACTTTGTATCTCTTGTTTGTCGTCTTCTTTTTGAAGTTCAAAGGGAAAGATCTTGATATTGTGGATCTTTGTGTGATTTTGTCATTTTCTCCAATTTTCATCGCAAATATCTAGTTGAATAATTTCATTTAGGTTTATAAAAATCCTTGAATTTTATCGAGTTCAAACTACATCACCTCAATAATGTTGGAATTACCAACATGGTTCCATTTATCCCTGACGGGTAATTGTTAGCTTCTCCCGGAATTAACTTATTAAATCGCTAGTGTGATTGGACCCATCGTAAGGCTGTCTTACATTCTTGATTCATCTCTTAGTAATATTCTGAAATTTATGAAGGTATTTCATTTCTTTAATCATTTGTAATTTAAGGTTTCGGCTGCGGTTTTACATAGAATATCACATCACACCTGGTTGGAGCTGATGATAGAAAAATCATTAGTTTTGGCAGTGTGAATGTATCAAATAGGCAGGGCAACAAACTCAATCATGGGCGTGTTAAAAAGTGAAACCTTGTTCAGTTGAACTCAGTATATCTCTCACTTCAGCATGAAACTATGAATCACTTGGTTCTTGAGCTCAAAACCCTCACATAAGCCTAATGTTGAACTGTCATTCTTCAAATCAATGTCAAAGGTCTGGGAGGATTTTGTTGAATTCAGTGGTAGGCTTGATCACCTGATAGTAGAGCTGAAGGGTGCAGAAAACAAAGGCATTAGGAACTCAGCTTTGGGAAATTATAACTATTAATTCAGTGAGTTTGAACACACCATTCCATGTCTTGAGCATGCTACTGAGGAAACATACTATTATCCTCTTGATAAAGGAGTGGGGGATTCTGGTATAATGGGGGCATGTTCATTTTCGCTTAGGGGTGAAGGATTTGTTTTCTTGATCCAATCATTTTCCTTGGGGCTTGGGATTTTCTTTGTAATTCTGTATTCAGCATGGTTTGTGTAGACGCTCAGTGAGTGTAATAAGTTCTGGCTCTGGGAGTTGGTATCGTATGTAGAAAATTTGTCCAGCAAGTGTGATTTGTTTTTTAAAATTTTGTTAGAGGTGTACGAGAGAATTAGTAATCTGACTGAATCGGGCCCTCTTGGAAAAACTGATGATGGTAACAGAAAGACTGAAATCACACAGCTATAGAGGATCTGTGGCTGACATATAAAATGGAGTCTTCCAGAAAAGGAATTGAGTGCCATATTTCTGTTCATAGCGCTAGATATTAATACAAACCTTGTATTAATGAAGTCCTGTAATTTGCTAGTGATGTATGGGGGAAGGAGAACGGTTCCTGGATTAGGAACAGGGCAGATGATGAAATATATTTGGAGATGTCTTAGCAAATTCTAATATGATTCTCTATGGTTGTTTATGGGTAAGGTGGTTTTTATTTTTCCCCTCCCACAAACTACGGTTATTGATTCAACAGATTATGATTTATGGCTAGAAAATCTAGACTAGTTGCTGAAAGAGAAAATTGTTTGAGCTTAAATAATAATGAAATATGCAATTTTAATCTCATGTACGCAATTTTAATCACTGTTGAAATCTTATGTACGCAATTTTAATCCCATTGCCATGCCTTATTATTATTTTCGAATGTGCAACTGGGGGACGTGTAATTGCTGTCCTATTCAGGGCTGGCCAATACTGTTTGATTTGACCTCGATTTGATCATCCTCTCTTGTGACCACCTTAGTGGACATCATTTCGCAGTACTGCTTACCAATTCATCTTTGTTATGGGTTATTTTTGTATGACTAATATTGGCAAGTAGCTCAAGTATATATTTTACTCTCTCACCAGATATATATATATATGTATATATTAAAAAAATTTATGGTTTTGTTCCTTGTAGGTACCGAGCTATCACTAGTGCATACTATCGTGGGGCTGTTGGCGCACTTCTCGTGTATGATGTCACGCGCCATGCAACATTCGAAAATGTTGACAGATGGCTGAAAGAACTGCGAAACCACACGGATTCCAACATTGTTGTGATGCTTGTTGCGAACAAATCCGATCTTCGTCACCTTGTAGCTGTTTCGACTGAAGATGGGAAATCTTATGCCGAGAGGGAATCGTTGTACTTCATGGAAACCTCAGCTCTTGAGTCCACCAATGTGGAGAATGCATTTGCTGAAGTTTTGACTCAAATCTACCGAATTGTTTGCAAGAAGGCGGTTGAGACTGCAGAAAATGGAACGGCTACTGTGCCAGCCAGGGGAGAAAAAATAGATCTTAAAAATGATGTATCTGCCTTGAAGAAAGTTGGTTGCTGCTCAAGCTAGCCTGGGAAGACAGAATCCTGTTTTCCTGGTTGCTGTGGGTTCTGTTGTACTGTACGTGTAGTATTCTGATATATAAAGATGAAGAAGAATGAAAACGAACTCTCCAGGGCTTATCAGGCTTGGTGGGTTAAACAATGTTTCATGCTCAATAGCTGCTGGGGAAGCAGGTTGATCATCATTGTTTTTTTATTGCTAGTTATTAGTTATTAATTTACTAATATTATCATTGTTTCTGAGATGCTAACAGTAGCAAAATTTCAAGCATGGAATGAATTGAATATAGAGTTTCATCAAAGTGGTTCTCCACTTTCCGTGGTTGAGCTCGGCAGGAGTATGTCCTTTCTCTTTAAATTGGTGCATACCGTACATTATGATCGGATAATAGTAGCAAAAATTGACAAAAAGTTTCCGTTTGGAAGTTTGTTGGCTGAAAAAACTAAATTTGAGTACTTCTGGGTATGAAATCCTATGGAATTTTCGAACAGCAATTTTTTTTAACTGACTTTCCCTGAACATATATGCCTCCCTTGACCGTTCCCTTGGGGAATTATACTTTAAAAATTGGAGAGAATTGTAATAGAGTCTCATAAAAAAAAAATAATTATTAAAAAATCCCTATGACAAGAAAGGAGTTACCATTTTTTTATTTTGAAATTTGTCATTCCTAATTATTCGATTGAGACTTTATAACAATTATGTTTTTTTTTTTTGATATTTAATTGCAGTTCTTCCTAAAACTTACAGTCAACTGCTTGATATCTGATCAACGAGTTATACTGTTTGTTTATAATTTGTAATTTGTACCAGGTCAAAAAAATTTGTAATTTGTAAATAATGTGATTAATTATAAATTATATATAATTATATTGATGTTAATGGTATTAACGTGACCTTAACGAGCACCGGATGTTATGTTCAGCAAACAAAAAATTACCTACATTTAACATTTAGTTAGGCCAAAAAAAGGAGTTTAACATTTAGCGAACCTTCTCGGGAATTGAATTTTTTTTTTTTTGAAAAAAACATAACAGCACAAAGTAAAGGGAAAAAAAAGCAAATTCTTTTTCATAAGCTAAATCAGTTGATCCAAAAGAAATTGTTAATTTAATAATCACATTTATAAATAGTTGATCGGCAATATTTAACTATTTTCTTTTGTATGATATATTGGTTAATTTCAATGTAAAATACAAACCAACCAATCAAATATGCTGACGGAAATATGCCAAAATATGGCGCGCGCCAGTACCGACCCAAAATGACAAAACTGTTTTTCCGTTGCCGGGAATCGAACCCGGGTCTCTCGGGTGAGAGCCGAGTATCCTAACCGACTAGACTACAACGGAGTGATACATCTTTCTTGTGTCATTTAAATTTAAAGTTACCAAGAAGATAGCGAGGGAAACCTCCCGCCTGCATTTCAATTTTCCTCCAGCATGTTGCTCCGCTCAAACCCCATTTCAGTCACTTCCACTAAGAAGGTTGAAGGTGGCACAAAACCCTAGTCGAAGATGAGGGAGGAAGAAATTGAGAAGCTTCGAGGTGTTGTGAGGGACTGCGTAAGCAAGCATCTCTACTCTTCTGCCATCTTCTTCGCAGACAAAGTCGCCGCCTTTACAAATGATCCCGCCGATATCTACATGCAAGCTCAGGCCCTCTTCCTCGGCCGCCATTACCGTCGTGCATTTCATCTCCTCAATGCCTCTAAGATAGTTCTCCGTGATCTCCGCTTCCGCTACCTCGCTGCCAAGTGTCTTGTGAGTCCCTCTATTTCAAATGCTGGTATCAATTCAGTTGTATTTGTGTGGTTAGCCGAGTGACTATCATCTTCTTCTTTGTGTTTCCTATGATCGAGATTGGCTAGGACTGGTTTTTGTAAATCCAAATATTTCGTAGTGAGGGTGCAAACATTTTTTAGCAGCTCATTGTCATAAACCAATAAAACAAGGTTGGAACTGGAGGGGAGCTTTATATGCTATGAATTACGGACACGGGCACCGTGATACATCAAGCACAACTGGCATTATATTATAGTTCTAAAAACTTTCTACTTGTGACATGCTTCTGCATAAAAAAATACAACTGATATTATTCTAACGTTATAGTTATCTCATACCAAGACTACCTCTGGTTTTTACTTTAAAGACATTTTAACAACTTCATGGGTATTAAGAAATTTAATTGAAGTTGGTTAATGCTGTTAAATGTATCCAATTTTTTTTTTTTGAAAGTTTCCAAGTTCCAATTTTACCATTAAAGTTCATTAAATGATTGTTTTCCTATCTTAAACTCTCTCCACTTAATTGGTGTAGGGGTTATCATTTGAAAGACAAGGGAAGAGAAAGTCAAAGCAACAAAGGGCTTCAAGGGAAAAAATAATAAATGCTTGAGAAAAATTGGAGACATTCTTATAAGAGAACCAAGCAACCTTTTTTTTTTTAAAAAAAAAAAAAAAGCCAAGATATGCTAAATCGAAAGTAGTTAAATCATATGGAGAATGGTCCAATATGGAGATAAAAACGTGCCACATTGTTCACGGCTGATAATGAATTGTGAATAGTGTGGCTTTAAACAAGGTTCTGCTGTCTTTCTCTCTACCTGTTGTTCCTTTCATCTTTTTCTCTTTTTGTTGAGGTTTTATCCATGCATGAGCTATGACTGGCATGTGCTTGAGACACGTTTGGAGTCCAAGCTTAATTTTTTGGGACATGTTTGATACGTGTTGACAATCTGTTATGGCTGTATAGGTGTTTGCCTCATGAGATGCCTGAAATTAGAGTCTCCAGCTATACAGCTACTAGGTCTCATTCCTTCACATTCCTCTCTTCACTGGAATACTTGTTGATACTTAAAAGTGTTACAAGCTATAAAGTCCCAACATTTAGTCTTTCTACTTGATGTTAAGGCTGGCGATAGAGATGCAAACAATGTCAGTAACCATCATATCGCTTTATCATGATGCAATTGACTGATAAATTCATTTGAGATTAATAATTTATTCGATTGGAAGAAGTAATTAGTTGATGCAATGTGGTGAGGAAAGCAGAATATGACTGCTTCAAGCTGGAGACAATTAGACTTTATATGTTATCCTGCTCATGGGCAGGAAAGTCTTAGAGCTAGCAACAATAGTGGGAGGAATAAACTCTTGCTTTCAACATCTGTGAAGTGTTTTTATATTGAGCAGAATAGTGAACCTTGAGTCTCTTCCAAATAAATTTCCTGGTCATGATAGCATATTACCTAGTTGTCAGTTTTCATGATTGTTTGATGCTATAATGATTTTCACTAATGCAGTGTGAGAATAGATATTTATGATTTACCATATCACAAGGTAATGCAATTTTGATCAGTTGGAATGGCTTGAGATTTCCACACGTATTTGGATAATCCTTTCGGGATTTGGGATTAGTCAGTTGTAGCCATTACTTCTTGATTGTAGAGTGTTAAACTTTCGTCCTGCATTACACTTGCTACAATTTTTCCTTCATTAGATGAATCCCTGGTGCTCTGTTTTGCGGCAGAAATTTGTGGCTGTGGCATTTGGAAATTTTTTGTTACATAGCTGAGTTGCCATTTAGGAAATTGGTTGCAGTCTGTTTTTTGGTATATGATGCATTACTCTTTAATATTTAATACTTTGATGCAACTGTAGCTATGTTGTTGTTTTGTGGTTATAGTATTATACATCTTTATAGCTTTTGACATATATTACAAATTGCTTATGTTGTATTAACTTGCTTTCTTGAACAGGAAGAGCTCAAGGAATGGGATCAATGCCTCTTAATGCTGGGTGAGGCTAAAGTGGATGAACAAGGCAATGTTTCAGACACAAAGGATTCTAATGTCATGTACTTGGATAAAGATGGTGAAGACCGTGAGATCAATGTAATGTTCTCCCTGTGGGTTACTTTTACCGTGTAAATTGTAATGTTTGGCTATGAGTTTTTGCTTTTTACGCATACAAATTCAAGGATCTTGTGACAATTCTGGTCAATAATGAGCAGGAACTTAAATTTTTCTCTTAAACCAATGTCAAGAGAAACTTAGAATGAACCAGGAAGCAATAAGGAAGTGTAACTTTATAATTAGGTGACTTCAGTAGCATAATATCAATATATATTCCTGTCAGAATTTGATACCGATATCATAAGTACAAAGAGACACAAAGTGGAAAATAATATTCTAGTACAACAGGATTACTCTTGAGTCATGTTCCAAGAACTTAGCTGGGATACTTGTAAGACTAAAGTTTATGATTTGCAGTTTGGCCTTAAGGGTTAGAGACCAAGACCCTGGGTTAGAGACCAGGACCCCATCTGATGTAGAATCAGCAGGTTATAGGAGGAAAAATAGAGAGAGAAAAGGAGGAGGAAAGATGAAACAGTAATATTTTTGTCAATTCTCAAAACTGAAAGAAAAGTCTGACATGTCTTCTATTCCTTATTGGTAGCTGTAGACATATATTGATATAAGGGAATATATATATATAGATATACATAGTAAATAATACTGAGGGGGGGGGGGTTCTATTGTAATTACAGTCCACGTCATTTGGTAATTAGTTTATGCGTCAGTCATTACACGTGACTAGTGCCATGAGGGTGAATATATTGTGGCTGTAGTACACCTTTTGCGGTGTGAATGAAATTACTACCTTTTTCGGATTCTCTGTTAACATTCTAGTATCAGAGCCGTCCCTGTTCGGCCTTCCATGGCGCCGGACACACGATCCTTGGACAGGCTCAGCGACCTCGAGCGTCAATTCCAGGGCCACCAGGCTCGTTTCGATGCTGTCGAGAACTGTTTAGCGCAGCATACTCAAACTCTCACCGACCTCCGTCAATCCATGTCCACTTTTGAAGGTTAACTCAAGGAGCTCACCTCTAAACTATCGGCTCCTCCCAACGATAACGGCCGCCGCCATGCTTCCGGGTCTGGCGAGGGCACGTCCAATCCGCAAACTCCTCGCATGCCAGTGGTTGGATCGTTGAACGAGGTGGACCATTCCCCGTCGCCGTACTCTATCCACACAAAACAGAGCAGGGTCGATTTTCCTAAGTTCGATGGCACAGACTTCCGTGGTTGGTCTTACAGGTGTCGACAATTTTTTGAGGTCAATGGAACCCCTCCGGAGCATCGCATTCGTCTGCTCAGCATTCACCTGGAGGGACATGCCTTGCGATGGCATCAGAATTTTATGCGACACCGCAGCTTCTCAACCATCACTTGGGATGAGTATTTTCGGAAAATGGAGACAAAGTTCGTTAACGTTCGCGATGAGAAGCCTATCATTGCCCTCAAGAAGTTGCAGCAAGGGGATGGGTTAGTCCCGGATTATGAGAAGGCGTTTGACGAACTATTATCCGAGGTGGATATCCCAGAAGAGGTAGCTCTCCATCTGTTCATTGGAGGACTACGTAGTGATGTCCAGCAACTCGTCCTCAACTTCGCACCGTCCACGTTGGAAGTGGCCATGTGCTCGGCCCGAATGCAAGAGCAGACCATCCGTGCTCTCCACGACAATGCTCCTAGTCGTGATCGCCGAAGTTTCCTCTCTTCTGGTAATCATTCAGGCCGCAACTCGGATTCTGGACCCCGGTCTATTCTTCACTTCGGACCCCCATTGGGCCCAACGGGCTCCCCTGGGACTGCGGATCACTCCAAGGGCTCTATGAACCTTTCCAGACCTTCAGCTCCCTCAGGCCTCTCCCCTGCCGCCTCGGTTGCTTCCACAGGTGCATCGAAACCCTCTTGGCAGCTGAGTAAACGCGAAATGGATGATAGGCGTAAAAAGGGCCTCTGCTACTGGTGCGACGACAAGTACTCCAGCTCTCATAAATGTAAGCAGTCACAGCTGTTCTCTTTGGTGGTCGACGAGGAGGACGATCAGTTCGAAGATGCTCCTGATGTGATGCCATCCGATTCCATTGGTCACATTAATGCTATCAAAGGTCGCGAAGATACAGTCACGTTGAAGTTATTAGGATGCATCAAGAATCAAGGAATCATCATCCTCATTGACACGGGAAGCACTCACAACGTGATCAACGCGTTGACCGCTAAGCGATTGAATTTGAAGGTGCAGGAACGACCGAGCATTAAACTTACCGTGGCCGACACTCGTCACGTATGCGTCACGCGTCATTGTACTGATTTAGCATGGGAGATGGGTGGGTTCTCTTTTACTGATGATTTCTTAGTCATGCAAATCAGTGGGTATGATGCAATATTGGGCACTCAATGGCTCCGCACCCTAGGGCGTTTTTCGATGGATATGGAACTCCAACTATTTGAGTTCAGGGCACATGGTCGGCTGATCGAATTACAGGGCCTCGGTGCTTCTCCTCTGTCTCGATTGTCCGGGGAGATTTCGTCGATTAAGGAGTTATGGGTGGCCCCACAGGTCTATCTTATTAACACTCCTCAGGATGCTCAACTATCAATGAGTCCTCATGCTCAGTTGACTGACGAGCAGCGACAAGAATTGGGAGCCATTCTGAGCAACTTCTCGGACGTTTTTGCTGAGCCCACCTCCCTCCCTCCGTCCAGAAGTTTCGACCACGCCATTCCACTCAATGAAGAAAAACCTATCAGTTGCAAGCCTTACTGCTACGGGCCTTTCCAAAAGGCCGAGATTGAGAGGCAGGTTCAACAAATGCTCTCTCATGGTATTATTCGAGATAGTTGCAGTTCATTTGCGGCGCCTGTGATTCTAGTACAGAAGAAAGACGGATCTTGGCGGTTCTGTGTGGACTACCGGAAGCTTAATGAGGCCACCATTAAGAACAAGTTTCCCATTCCCATAATCGAGGAGCTCATTGATGAACTCACCGGTGCTACATATTTTTCCAAACTGGACCTCAGGGCCGGTTATCACCAAATAAGGATGAGCGAAGACGATGTCCACAAAACAGCATTTCGTACACACGAGGGGCTATATGAGTTTCTGGTTATGCCTTTCGGTCTGACTAACGCACCAGCTACCTTCCAAGGATTGATGAACTCGGTTTTCAAAGCTTTCCTCCGTAAGTTCGTTCTGGTATTCTTCGATGACATCTTAGTTTATAGTAAGGACTGGCCCCTCCATTTGAGGAAGCATCAGCTCTTTGCTAAAGCTTCTAAGTGTGTTTTCGCTGCTACAAAAGTTGATTATTTGGGACATACTATATCCGTTCATGGCGTCCAGGCTGATCCTAAGAAACTGGAAGCCATTGCATCCTGGCCTATCCCAGCTACTATTCGTGAATTACGAAGCTTCTTGGGTCTCACTGGTTACTACAGACGTTTTGTCCGTAATTATAGCACTATCTGCAGGCCTTTGATTGAGCTATTAAAGAAGGACACGACATTCTCCTGGTCCCCTGCGGCCGACTCTGCTTTTCACATATTGAAAAAAGCCATGCTGTCTCCTCCAGTACTTGCGTTGCCAAACTTTAATGATACTTTCATTATTGAAACTGATGCCTCAGGTTCCGGTCTTGGGGCGGTTCTCTCACAGAATGGTCATCCCATTGCTTTTGCTAGCAAAACCTTGGCTGCCAACAAACGACCCTTGTCGACCTATGAACGCGAATTCCTCGCTATTGTATTCGCTGTCAAACAGTGGCGTTCTTATTTGTGGGGCCGAAAGTTTATCATTCGAACAGATCATTTGCCTCTCAAACATCTCCTTGAACAGCGAGACGTGAATCAGACCCAACTCAAATGGCTACACAAGCTATGGGGCCTTCATTTTGACATAGTTTATAAAAGGGGTGTGATAATGTAGTGGCGGATGCTCTTTCCAGGAAGGCCGAAGGGTCCTGCCTAGCCTTAACCGCTCCAGTATCATCCTTGTATGACAGAGTTCGAAATTCCTGGCTTCTTGATGATGCACTACAGAAAATTATCACAGAATTAGAAGGTGACCCTCTGTCACATTCGAAATTCACTTGGGATAATCAATTGCTCAAAAGGGGAAGTTGGTGGTAGGGGCAGATCGTGGCCTAAGGGCAGAATTGCTCTCCTATTTTCATGATGACAAGGTGAGTGGTCATTCAGGTGCAGCCTACTTATAAGCGTCTTTCCTCTGTTTTCTACTGGAAGGGCATGGAAAGGACGTCCGGAACTATGTGAGGGAATGTGCTACTTGCCAGCGTTTAAACCAAAACTAGTAGCTTCTCCCGGCCTGTTGCAACCTCTTCCCATACCTGAAAATGTGTGGTCTGAGCTTTCTATGGACTTTATTAGTGGGTTGCCTAAATCCTATGCTAAAACCACCATCTTAGTGGTAGTGGACCGACTATCTAAAGCTGCCCATTTTATGGCCCTTAAACACCCTTTTACAGCTGTAGAGGTTGCCCATATTTTCATGGATAATGTTGTCAAGTTGCACGGTTTTTCTAAGTCCATTGTGACTGACAGAGACCCCATTTTTTGTGGGAAATTCTGGAGGGAATTGTTCAGGCTTTATGGGGTTCATCTTCATTATTCTTCTGCATACCACCCACAATCAGATGGCCAAACAGAAGTTCTTAATCGATGTTTAGAGTGCTATTTGCATTGCATGACTGGTGACTTTACCAAACAGTGGTGAAGTGGCTGCCGTTGGCTGAATTGTGGTATAACACAAATTACCACTCTGCTATTGGAATGACCCCATTCGAAGCTGTTTTATGGGGTTTGCTCCCCCTACCCACTTGCCGTACATTGCTGGGGATTCTCCTAATGATGTGGTGGACCGCACCTGTTTGAGCCGAGAGCTTGTGCTGCAACTCCTGAAACGACATCTCTTCAAGGCCCAACATCGTATGATCCAGCAGGCCAACAAACACCGCAGTGACCGAAGCTTTGAGATCGGTGATATGGTTTACTTAAAGCTCCATCCATTCAGGAAAAATCTGATTAATAATTCTACTCTCCATAAATTAGCTGCCCGGTATTTTGGTCCCTTTCGAGTTTTGAAGCGTGTAGGGGCTGTCGCCTATGAGTTGGAATTACCCCCAGACACTAAAATTCACCCTGTGTTTCACGTTTCCTTGCTTAAGAAGCATACGGGTCCTTCGGCGGCAATCACTCACTATTTGCCCCCTGTCGATACGGATGGACAATTCTCATTGGAACCGGAGGAGATACTTGGTCGTAAGATTATCAAACGTCACAACTTGCCCATTACGCAGGTTCTGGTTCGCTGGAAGTTTTCCCAATCTGAAGATGCTACTTGGGAGGATCTTTCCACTATTCAGCAACAATTTCCTCATTTTTCAACCGAAGCACCTCCTGCTTCCACCATCCTTGTGGACAAGGATCTTTTTTGAGGGGGGGACGGATTTGATATAAGGGAATATATATATATATATATAGATATACATAGTAAATAATACTGAGGGGGGGTTCTATTGTAATTACAGTCCACGTCATTTGGTAGTTAGTTATGCGTCAGTCATTACACGTGACCAGTGCCATGAGGGTGAATATATTGTGGCTGTAGTACACCTTTTGCGGTGTGAATGAAATTACTACCTTTTTCGGATTCTCTGTTAACATATATGATTGGAATATTATATTTATTCATTATGAGGAGAGGGATATATGTACAAGAGGGAGCCTTTGCTTTAATGGCTCATAAATACAGAATATTATCTGATCCCTATGATAAAGTTGTGATATCTCTAATAATAGAATGAATCTTCTATAATCCTAACAGTAGCATTCTTTCAGTCATAAAAAATTTACTAATATGCTGTTTTGGAAGCCTTCAAACTTAATTTTGAGCTTATATTTTCTTCTCAAACGTACACTGAGATACGTCACTGTTGAATTTTTGGTATGCTTTGGAAGTTTTGAACCAGAAGGACACTTATTAATGGGTCGCTAGGTTATTTGCATGATATTTGTGTTTAAGTTATTAGTTTTAAATTGCTTTAACAGCCGTCCTCTGGTAGTGTCTTCTAACTATATGCATAAAAATTTGTATGCCTGCAAACTTCTGGCTAATCTATTTCCAGTCCTGACATCCCTGATGATTAGAAATATTGATTAGCAATTGGGCTAACGCATCCTATCTGTATAATTAAATCAATGAATCAACTTTTTCTCATATTTGGTGCCCAAGTATTTATCCAGAAAGGACTTAAGAACAATACTGTATACTTCCACACATGCTTGCCAGTTACTGTTTAGAAATTCTGTATTTTTTTCCTTCTATTTGATATGGTAGCATGATATGGCTAGGGTTAAAGTTTGTGAATATTTCATCATGTTTGATCTGGCTTTTTCTTAGTTTTGCTAGTTTGCTTAGTTCTATGCATTTTTTCTGTGCTGTAACAGATATCTTCTGCAATATGTTTCTTAAGAGGCAAAGCACATGAAGCTCTAGAAAACCGTGCCCAGGCGCGATTGTGGTGGGTTCCTTTGAGGACTTGTGATTAACTAAGCCTTTTTTAACCTAAGAAACAGATTTTTTTTAAATTTTTTTGCTTGCATAAACAATAGTTGAATTATGATATGTTAGAATTCAATGAAAATAATTAATATGGAAAGCTCCCTTAATATGCTCTGTTTTCTTGGGTTCAAGGTACAAAGCTGCCATAAAAGCTGACCCTTTATGCTATGAGGTATGTCTCAATCTTTTCCTTGCTTTTCTATAGTTGATGGAAGTGTATATTGTGCAGTAAATCTACCTCGACCTGGCTGTTAAAAATTCATATTTCTTTAATCTGAAATTGAAGTACCAGTAAATAAATTCAATATTTTGCCCTTTCAGCAGAGTTTTTGATGGCTTGAATTATTTCCTCTTCATGCAATTTTTCAAGTTTCATATTTACCATTTCTCCTTGCTCTCAAGCGTCTCAACATATATGCATCAGTGCCCTAATTTTCCGCTGGCCGTTTGGTGATTATGTCAGGCCCTGGAATGTCTTATTGAAAATCACATGCTCACGTGTGAGGAGGGTAAAAGCTCTTAACTAATCCATCAGAATCTTCGTTCATTGCAATTGCTGTTTAGATGGGTGAATTTATATATTATCTGATTACAAATTAATTCTTACACTTCTTCCATGTTTTGCTCCTTCCTTTTCTCCATGCTGAACATCAGAAGCAAATTTGATTTCATCACTGCAATTTGGTAGTGAAGATGGATGGCTTTCATCATTCTATTCATGCTTGATAAAGAAGGTAACATTTAGTGCTATCCGAGGCTCTGTTCAATTTGAATGTTTTGTATTGTATGTCAGTGGATATTAAGGGGAAAATTGTTTTACTTGTCTTTTCTGCAAAACAATGTATCGTGTCGATTGATTATGATGGTGACTTTGTGCATGCATACTGATCAGGGCTTTTCTCTTCTCTTCTTTGTGATGCAGTATGAGAAGGAAAATGTTGTGGAAGCCAAGTTTCGAGACCTTGAGAACACAAGCTGCAAAATTGACCAATCTAATCCTTCCTTCCTGCGTACACTGAAAACCAACACTGACCTATTAGCCTGCAAAGCTGAATACTACAATCAGTGTGGTGAATATCAGAAATGTTTTGAGTTAACATCTGTGTAAGTTTGGGACCTGAGTTGGAGAGTGCAGACTGGAGTGCAATACAGTTGTGCTTTTTATCTAAATATCTGCTGCTTCTTTTGTCCTTCCTCTGCCTCTCTTTCCTAACTGAGTTTTATCTCTGTTACAGTCTGCTTGAGAAGGATCCTTTCCATAACAAGACTACCTTAGTACATCTGGCAGCTGCAATGGAGCTTGGACATTCAAATGAGCTCTATCTGATGGCATGCAATCTTGTGAAGGATTATCCTCAAAAGTAAATTTTCTTGTACTACTTATCATTTGTTGTCTTCTGTATCATTTGTTATAAGAACCAGTTATCTTTTTTTCGTCTTTCAAATTGCTCTTAATATGCATAGACTCTACTGCATGTTGAGGGAGATGTTTCATATTGAAATTCTATTCAATTTTGATAACCTTAGAAGACAACTAGAAGGCCTAAGCATTTTAACCAAATATATGATCTAATTGTACAAGATATCGTTGCCTGCTTAGATGACCCTTGGGACCCAAACAGAATATCTAAATTCTTGATAGGCTTGAATATTGGGTTGAATTATTTACTGTATTGTGATGATTACTTGATGTTATTTTAGGGCGTTATCTTGGTTTGCGGTTGGTTGCTATTACTATTGTATCAAGAAGTATGACCAGTCCCGTCGATATTTCAGGTACACATAGCTTGTCATCATGTTAGATGTGGCCCATCCTGAAACATCTAACACTACCTCTTTTGTAATCCGTTATCATTTTTGGCTTTTGAATTATTTCAATAATATGAATAATTGACTTCTTTGCTAATTAAAAATATGATAGTTGTAATATAGTCACTTTGAGTATCTCTTTGAATTTCAATGCATTTGGCATTTTGTTTTATAATTTGTCAAGTGTTATGCCTCGGTAGGGGCTGTATATCCTTGCTGTGAAATAAGATTATATGTTATTATTAACCCTAGTGTAGTAGTGTACATAAATGCATGTATGATAAGTATTTCACTCATCAACCAAAATTTATGCTGTGACATGTAAAAGTTGGAGACATGGATCAATTATTTATCTCTGAGCATGACTTAGATTTTTGCATCCTCTACCATACAGCAAGGCAACAAGTCTAGATGGAACATTTGCACCAGCCTGGATAGGCTATGGGAATGCTTATGCTGCTAAAGAAGAGGGTGATCAAGCTATGTCGGCTTACCGAACTGCAGCTCGTTTATTTCCTGGGTAGTGTATCAACTTTTGCAATTAGAACATTTTGATTCAGATATGGTTGAGTAGTTTCTTGTGCCCGTATCTTCAAAACCATTTCAAATTTTAGATATGTTTGAGTAGGGGTGCTGAGAAATTTTATTTAGCCTTTAATCCTTTGCACAATTCTTTGCTTTTACCTCTATTGTTTTAGAGACTTCTTCAAGATGAGACGAGACTTATAATTTAATTAAATTTCTTTGAAATTTGCTTCTATTGAGTTATTGCCTCCACCAAATAACAGGCCACTACATTTTTTATTTCCTAACTTGTGATTCATATGTGAGATTCTCACTTGCATGTATTGTGTCCATGAGTGCTTAATTTTCTAATTACGTATGAAATCCTCTTATTATGCATGAATTGTTCTTTTACAGGTTAAATCTTGATATTCTCTTATTCCAGGTGCCACTTGCCGACTCTTTACATTGGAATGGAATGCATGCGAACTCACAGCTATAAGCTTGCTGAGCAGGTGCCTACCACTAAACATACTGTCAACTATAGTCTGTCTAGATCTGGGTTAAGTTCGGGGAACTGGGAATTGATGGGGAGCTAATAGAGAAAGAAAGGGAAAGAAGTAAATCTCTGTGAGAATATAAGCTGGAATAGCACTCTCCTTCAGTGAACTATGCAAATCATGCATTATTCATATATTCTTCGTACTTCTGTGCTCATGCTAATGAGCATATGTTTCTCTTCAGTTCTTTTTGCAGGCTAAGGCGATTTGCCCCTCAGATCCACTTGTATTTAACGAACTTGGAGTTGTTGCCTACCATATGCAAGAGTAAGGATATTTTCTCAGCTTTACAATCACAAGTCGCCAAAATTAAATCTATTTTCTTTCAATAAACCATATTATATTACAATCTCCTCTTTGAATCCCTCCCCTCTCCTTGTGTTTTGCAATTCATGTGATCCTTAGGTGTTATGTAGGTAACCAAAATTTGGTTGTGGTAAGACTAACTAGTATGGTAACCTTGACCAAGGTTTATTCAGCGTACCATTCACTTGAAATAAATTTCTGCAATATATAAGTGCTGAGCACTCAAAAGTTTTGGTTAAACAGATGGAGTTTGAACTATGGAAGTCTCAGTGCCAGTTCATTTGTATTTTGAGGAGTGCGTGACTTTGTTTATTTTTCATAGTTTGGAAGATAACTTAAGCTCACATACCTAATAAGTTTGTGCTTGCAAAAGTTTGGCAGCTGAGATCTGCATGTAAGAATTCTTGATATTCTTGATTTAAATTGTTATATGGATCTTGGCACACATGATTTCTTCATACATGACTCTGATGTTCCAATTATCTATGCTGACATAGGGTTACCCAATACTAGTAAAGTCAGTATTTCCATTTTAAGTTTCATGCGCTGAGTGATTCTGACATGCATAATTGTTATCCATGCTTCAGGTATAATAAAGCAGTATGGTGGTTTGAGAAAACATTAGCCCTCATCCCATCCTCTTTAAGTGAAATGTGGGAACCAACTGTAGTTAATCTTGCCCATGCCTACCGGAAATTGAAGTAAGTTGGTAAATTTGGTTCTGTGGTCATTTTACTCTTTTTTTATTCATAAGTTTCTGAGTGCTTGATAGTTTTTAGCGTACGAACTCATATCCTCTTGTGAATTTCAAATCCTATCGTTCTTATAATCTTCACTGTTGAAGGATTAACTTAGGTGACTGAGTGTCTGAAGTGAGGTGGCAATCAATCCAGCCAGCTTATTTCAAGATTTTTCTTATGCCCATAATTTTTCTGTATCTTAATAGGCAGTTTGTTTTTGCTTAACCTTGTCCTCTATTTCAGTAGGTCTGGATTTCTTGGTCATGCCATGCATTTAAAATTTGAGAGAAAGTTGTTGTATCTTCTCATCAGATACTATCAACTGTGTTGATTGGGGTTCAGCATTCTTGATCCTGATTTTGCTTAAATCACTGTCTCAGGATGTATGATGAAGCGATTTCATACTACGAGAAAGCACTTGCATTATCAACAAGAAGCTTGAGTACGTATGCTGGTTTAGCATATACGTACCACTTGCAGGTATCTAAGTCTCTTGCCCTTTTTTCTTTTTTCGCTATAGTATATGGTGTAGGTGGAAACAAGCTTTGCTGCATGAACCAATCAAGTTCATTATGTGTAAAGAGTCTGTGTTGGCCTGGCAATTGGATTACTCTTGACTTGATGAATTTTTGAAACAATTGTTGATTAAAACATGAATTGAGTGAAACTTCTGATAGGGGTTTTTTCCTATATGTAGTTAGCGAGATAATGAACTATTGAAATTCTTAATGCATTGAACAATAGAAGTGATTAGTTAGTGGATATTTCATGTACACTAAGGAGTTGATGAGTCGGTGATCACTGTGTTATAGAAAATGGCTGAAAAGCTAGACCCTCTGTTATTTATGGTCATGGTATTGGTAAAAAGCTTTCGCTCTATTGTCGCATGACTCACGTCCTCAACACTTTCAATTTTCTTGATTCTTAAAATATATTTTTCACCATTCTCTTTCCAAATATTTTCTCCTAATATTCTGTTAATAGGCTGTTTGCGGTTGTAATTCTTGCAGGATGACTTCACTACAGCTATTACTTACTATCACAAAGTAAGTGTCTGTATATATATCGTAAAATCTATCAGTAATATGCATATTATATTCATGTTAATATAAAGCATTTTCATGTGGCAAATGTTATTCTCAATATAGTGCTAGTAATTTCCGGCCAGCGTGGTTGGTTTATGGTATTTATTTGTGAGTAATAAGAATAGAAATGGGGAGTTGGAATTTTACAGTCATTAATATTTGAGTGATCGGTTCACTTGGAAATGGTGTTGCGTATTGTCACATGATCTATTTTTACACTTAGCACATATAATATATTTAGGGAGAAAAAGTCAGGGCAACACAAAGTTATTTTCACCTTTACAAGGGCATCAAGTCTGGGAATCAAATCCTCATTGTCTGTTTCTTGGGAACTTTGGAACTGTTTCTATTTTTTTCCTAACATGGTAGGCTGATCTTGCACTAGATCATTGCTAATGTTCATGGCATGATCATTTGTTGGATTGCTCAACTGCCTTATGAATTATCATTGTTGGTTTGAAAATCAGGCTTTATGGCTCAAACCAGATGACCAGTTCTGCACTGAAATGTTAAGTTGGGCTCTAATGGACGAAAGCCGATGTGGTGTGCCGATTATCCCTTAGTTAAATTCTGGTGAACTGTGATTGAGTTTCTAAGGGGGTAGCTATATTCACCTCGTTACGTGTGTGTGTGTGTGTGAGAACCATGCATTAATGTCAAGTTAACGCATGGCAATTCTTATATCTTGTATTGTAAGTTATAGTGGAGGCAATATTTATTTTGTTGATATTTTGCAATATGTAATTGATCGATAGTTTTTCTCCTTATATTGTTCTTAATCTCTGCTGTCGATCTTGTCTTTACCTCGGACTGTTGTGGATATTTCTGAATGTTTCCTGGGAATGGAAAACTCTGATGGGGAGATAAAATCTATACTCTTGACATGTACTTAGATTAAGCGTACAGCATACTGCAAAATATGCAGTTTGATTACAGAAACAACAAAATAAATAAATAAGAGATTCGACAATGGTTACTGAAGAGTACTGAAATCCTGATCATTCTTTGACAGGGCATGAAATGCAGACCGCCGAGTTTTAGAGTTTGAACCGTCAGTGTCTAGTATGAATGATTGTTCATCCAATGTATAATTCAGGGGAAATCTTAAAAAAGAAAGAAAAGAAGAAGAGTCTGAAATTACTGAATCTCAAATCAGATTTAGTTCTCACATATTAATTGGTTCTTTTATAATTATGTATTGTTTTCACATTATTTCGAGTTGATTAAAAAAAAAAAGTGAATTCATGAAAAGAAGTTTTATAATGATAAAAGGAACTTGTGTCACTTCAGACAGATTAAAATAAAGCTTATATAATGTCGTAAAAATAAAGAATCTAAAAACAAAACATTGGGTCAGGTTGCTACTATCCATACCAGATGTCTGCTTTAACCGAGTATAATAGCCGAACCCGGACTGATAGGGTTAGCTAGACCTTCAAACATGGATGTTAAGGAGCCATGTTGGAGGAGCTTTTCCTTAACAAAAACAAAAAGGATGCCATAATAAATTACGGAGCATGACTACACAACCGCCGGCTGCTTTTGGGATCATTTTCCCATCTTCCCACTTCTGTTTAGATTAAATTTATAATTTTATCTATTTGAGGTCTTTAACTTGTGATTTAAATAATATCATTTCATCTTTTTAAGGGTGACACCAGATTATCTTTATTTTAAAATGTGTTTATTAAAATAAAAACTATTAAAAATATAGCTTTGACAATCCGAATGTGGTACTACTCATTTTTCAACGACTACTCAAACTAAAGCCTTCGTCTTCAGGCACTTTGTTTAGGCCTGCCAGAGTTCCAATATATTTCACTGATGGAGAGAACCATGCTTAGGACTTCATCATAATCTCTCTGTATTAGACCTCAAAACAAACTATTTATCTTATCAGCTGGACAGCCGGAGTAACAACCAGTAATTTCGTTAGTATCCTCTGAAGTTCTAAATTTTCTCAAGTAAATGCAGTTCATGCAAAATAGTGATTCAAGGACCAAACCTATCATAAATAGACAAATTTCAAAGCAAGCACTCCCGACCAACTGCTTAAATGCCTATTCCTAACTAAGTTGATCTATTTATCGTCAGTGTACCAGTTCTATCTGAAAATTTGCCATGATTCAGTCCTCCTTTCCCCTGTGAATATCGACAAGATATCTATTCAAACGTTGGCCAAATGTCTGCGTTGAAAATGACTCAGTGACATGCCTCCTAGCTTCTCTGCCCATTCGCTCTGCCTCCTGAGGATCTTGAATGAGTTTGAACATTGCTTGAGAAAACTCCGGTGGAGTAGGATCACAAAGGAACCCTGTCAAACCATGCTTGATTGACTCAACAGGTCCACCACTATTGCATGCAATAACGGGTTTATAAGCTGCCATTGCCTCCAAAGGAACAATGCCAAAGTGCTCATCCTGCATTAAAGAGCTCCATGTAAGACTCTCTTCAGCTAATTCCAACTAGAATTTCGGTAAATAGAAGGTTTTGCGAACCTTTGGAGTGTAAAGGACACAAAGGCATTCTGAAAGAAGAGCATTCCTTTCAGCTGTTGAGCAAGATGTGATAAACCTTGTTCGACTTGATACTCCTTCCCTTTCAGCTAAGTCTTTTAGCTCTTCCAAGTACTCTACATTCTCTTTCAATCGTTTGTCAAAGCCACCTGGAATAAGTGATGACAATATATTTCATGCTTATCCATTTATCACAGCTGACAGATGCTAAAGAATGAAGTGAATTCATATGCATACACACTTTTTAAGAAATTTGAATGGTTTATATTCAGCACTCATTTATACTGTCAAGAAATAGATTACAATTATCCATATACTAATCAAATTTCTCTCTAACTCTATGCACACAAAAATGTTAGTAGTACATAACTTTCTTGGTCTCCACTATTTCCATGCCCAACCAATCTTCCCCTTCTCAATTTAAACTTGTTATTTGGAACTCCATATCTCATAATATGGTGCTGATATGCCAAACGACTAGGAAGTTGGGAAATAAAATAATCCATCTAACATCACTAAAATGTTTATCAACCTATCCTTGTGAATGAGAAAACAAAAGTAGAAGATGCTCACCAACAACCGTCAAGGAAGCATTAAATGCATCCTGACGAAGGGCATCTCCTTTGAGGGCGTGGAGCTGAGCAAAAGCTGATATTGCTAATTCTATGTTCTTCTTCCTTTCAAAGCGGTTAATGGAAAGAAAATTGAACCTACAGCAGGAGAAAGAATACAAGCATCAGCCCACAGAACTTGTCATGGAGTCATACAATACATGCAGAATTTTACGAAGCTTGCTACATAGAGGAAGCAGCCAAAAACAGCTACAAACATGTTATTTACTTAAAGGAATCGGGTTCATTGAACTGATCCACATTGACTGCTGGGTACAAAACAGCTGGTCGAATCCCTCGAGCATCCAGATGCTTGAAAGTATTTGCAAAAGTAGATGCAGTGAATTTGCTGTTAACAAGTATCAGATCAGCCATTCCTACAATTTGGTCAAACTTGATTATATGAGTGATTCGCTTTATATGCAGGCAGGAATTTCACGAGAACAAAACAGAGCCTTAATGAAGTCCAACCAGTTGTTATTTCTTCTATATAGTCTATTGGCTTCCTATACATCCTCCTGAGGAAAGTCGTGTGTTGAGCCAGCAACAAGTCTGGAAAATGACAATAGAATACAACCTACCGAGAAAATTCAACAAATTAAACAATCCTCATTATGTCCAAGCGTAAATTTAATATATCATATTGTAACTACCTTTGCGGACTTCTTAAGTTTCAGGACTGGAATAACTACAGAGACCTGATCAGCCAGTATAACATCAAATGATGGCCACAAGAAAAGAACACAAAGAGCAACAAAGAGACACCTCAGGTACGCGCATAAGGCATGAAGACGGTAGAAAATATGCCGAGGAATAAAAGAACCGTACACAGTAACTGGAAAGGTACCTGAGCATTTATGTGTCAAACTAATTGTTAAAACACCATTAGGGGTTTCAACTAGACGATTCTGGATCAAACAATAATTAAACTACAAAGAATAGAAGTGCTACACAGGCACAAAGAGTGAGAGAGATATACCAGCGGTAGTCTCCTCAAAGCATCTATTTTTATCATGATGAGCAGTAAAAATATGAACATTATGGCCATGGGATGCGAGCTCAACAGCAGCATCCACTATTAATCTTTCAGCTCCACCTACAAGGCATAACAAGATATCCGTAACAGCACTAAAAATAGGTAGTCATCACAACATCTAGTTTAAAGCAGAAAGTAGTGAAATCTAAAAGGATGGAAATGGTATAATGCTACCAATCTTGTGCGTAATGTGTTTAAAACGCCTAAAGATTTTAAAACTAGAAAATGTGTTTGCGATGTGTTTGTGGGCGCAGAAGACCAAGAACCGATTGACCCTCTTGTTAAAAGATTCTGCTTTCAAAGAGCTCATACATTTCAGGGGGAAGAAGAAATAGGATGGTCCTAAAAGAGTTGAGTACAAAACATGTCAGGCTAATCCAATGTATTGGCATTCCAGTGAGCACCCTCATCATCATATTATCATTCGGTGATCACATAATCGACTTTGCAGTCACCAGAGATGGTGCTCAACTGTCCCTTGTTACTAATTACCAAAATAAATCTCAACCTCCAATCCGATAACTTTCAGAGGCATAGAAATTTGCATATAAATTATTACCTATGCCAAGATCTGGGTGGATTACGGCGATGTTCATCTTCGAGCTTTTTTCTTTTGCCATCAAAGCGACAAAGCCAATAAATTTACAGTGAACACATTCGTTGGAGGTTCCGTAGAGCCTGTTCTACAGCCAACGAATAATTTATAGTCAAGTCAACGATGACCCGACAGCGTTCGCTCTACAGAAGGAGAAGAGAAAGATCGGAAGCCGGTTCTTCTGAGTTGAGTTCTGAACTTCAGAATTCTGATGCCTGAAAAGGTTAAACGTCGTCGTTTCGTCCTCCCAAAGGCAAATAGACCGTACGCATAGAATAGTGATTTTTAATATATAAATTTATTTGACTTTTATTTTGATTCTAAATATAAGATTTTAATTCATTTTATTTATTATATTTATGTATTTTATCTAAGATAATCCTTCTAACAATGGTAATTCTAGCTAATACACTTAATTAATAAGGATATTTTAGAAAAGATAATACATATTTATTATAAATAATTAACTTAATTTATTTCCTTAATCTTCTTAAATTAGTCAACTAACTCTTATAATTAAGACCAAAGATAGTAATTATAATTTAAAAGATATTTAGCAGAAATAATTACTTGTTATATGGGATTAAATAAACCCATAGATGCTAGATTGGAGAATACCATAGGACCATAGATATTTAGCAGAAATAATTACTTGTTATATGGGATTAAGTAAACCCATGTTCTCCAATCTCACATAAGTGGGTTTGTTTAATCCTATTAACATGCAATTTTGCATGAACACTCTTTTAATAAATTTTTTTCAATTTCAATTCTAATTTTTACCTCTTATTTTCAACATTTCATACTAAATGGGACATAGGAGTATTAATCTTTCCACTTCGCATCTTATCCATTTTACTTCCTATGCAAATACGAAATAAACATAAATAACATATAATATTTTATAAAAATCCTGATTAAACTGTAGAAAAATACATGCGACATAAAAACTGTATCATATATGATGTAGAAGTATGGTAATTTGCTATAAATTTCATAATTTATATTGATATATGTAATTGATATATGAATGATTTATCTTATAAAACGCTAAACACTAAAGCCGGAAAAAAAACCACTGAACACCTTTTTTTTATATAATAAATAAGTGCCAATATTTATGACTTGCAAATAGTAGAATTTGATATGGATCTTATTACAAATTCATCATATTAATATATTACCGTACTTAATATAAAAGTTAGTTTGACATTTAATTTAGTTTTCAATATGAATTCTCAATTCACTTTGTTTATTATATTTATCTATTTTTTTAAAATAATGTTTGTATTAGTTGAACATGTTAAAGGTTTAATCAAATGATAATTCAGGTACTAACTATATTTTAGATTTTTTTGTGCTTTCCTTCACTTAATAAAAACATGATAAGTGTGAGAAAAAATTGACACAATTATCATGTTTGTATTTTATAAAGAGTCTAACTCATAAGTCATAACCTTACATTTTGAAAAAGAAGTGATTGATTATTTTGTGCTAGAGTTTGGCCCCAACAAGCGTTAAATTTTTTTAAAAGATAAGAAGGAGTTTAATCCTTTACTAAAATTTGTTTAGATACTTATAACTAAAAGATAAATTATATTTCCATGCATCAAAAAGGCAATAAATCTAAGAATAAATAATGAGAAGCTGGAAAATTCTAAGAAAAGTTGGAGAAAAGCCTCCCTTTAAAATTTTATTAGTAAGAAGGAAGTAAATCAGAGTACTAGTACTGCAAAATTTACAACAAAAAATCAATACTTTATTTATACAAAAATTTACTAGGTTCTTCTAAACATCTCTTTTATTAAAATTTAGGATTTTTTTTTGGCTTTCATTCATTTACATTCTAGTCAACTCTTTCTGATACTAATCTCAACTCTTGTTGGGATTTTGTGGCCTAACAACATCAAATGCATCTCTTAAATCTTTTTTTAAATGTGAAATTGTGAGCTCAATCAGTTAGTAAAAAATAGATTAAATAGATGAGTTATTGAAAAAAAGAAGAAGGGAAAATCTCAAAAAAGTGACTACTGAATTTCAAAATGCCAAATCAGGAATTACTACAAAAATGGGTTGTCATTTGTTTTTTGAATGTAGTCATTTTCTTTATGAGTGTAGTAATGAATATTGATTTAGAATTTTAAAATTCAGCTATCACTTTTTTAGAATTTTCCCAAAAAAAAATTTCAAGCATCAACCATGCCTCCACTTGACTCCTTGATTGAAGCTAATAGTACAAATTGGACAAATGTTGCCCCTAGTTTTGGTGGCTAAGGTCATCATTGCTGAATCCACCTTAACTTGGAAGGATTCTCATACTCAGTATTGACCAGCTGAACCAATTTTGTTTAACTTTCAAGTTTATTCATATCTTTAAAAAATAATAAAATTTTTCAGTAGTTAATACCATTGAGTATTGGCCAATTTATTTTTTATTTTTGCAAGTTATACTCTAATTGAAAGAGAAAGCGATTTCAATATAATTTATTAAATTTTACAAAATAATTATTTTGTTATTTTGATCTCTTTTAATTTTCTTAGTATGCAGAGTGCCGGAGACTTTACATTTGAAACTTAAATATAAATGATCCAATTATCAATACCTCGCTATAAAGGCTGACTCTGCCTCTTTTTGGTGCAATTTATATGGCTCTTTGCTCTTTAAATTTGTTTGTATCATTCTTAACCTTTCACCCACCAAATCATAGTGCAGGTGATGCAATGATCATTCCAACCATCTAAACCACTGTCAATCATTGTACACAAAGGTTTTCCTTAACCTTCATTCTAGGCAAAATGTCTTTTTTATCAACTAGTTTTGATAAATTTATTCGGCTAAAGTATATGTTTGGTCATTTGAATTTGTATTAATTTGTAATTTAGTCTTTTAAGTTTATAAAATATATTTTTAACTTTTAATCCCAACACCATAAGCCTCATGCAATAGAAAATGCTAGCTGAATAAATTTAAATGGTGGAATTGTAATTAAACGCTGAGAAGACACGATTAAAATTCAAAACATAAAAATAATTACTACTTCCGGTCTTAATTATATGAAATCGCTTGTAATCCACAAATGAAATCTTATAATTAGGATTGGAAGTAGTATATTAAAGTAAGAATTAAAAGTTAGAGTATGTTTTGTCAGTATTTAAATACAAAATCACCATTTAAGTTTGCTAAATTAATAATATTTTCCGTTAAACGACATTAATGGTGTTAAGATTAAAAAATTAAATTAAAATTTGATGCAGAATTAAAAAATTAAACGTGTACTTTATCTTGTTGTTAGACTTACATGCAATAAAATAAACTAAGTTAGTTTCAAGAAGAATATATTATCACAAAATTTCATATTTTTTATTTGGTTATGATTAACAATCATTACATATGAATTATTATGCTTAAACAAAATACCGAAGCAAGACAAGTGCTAAGGCAAGTAGGAGGCATAACATATATATAATTGAGTAGGATCAATTCTAATGGCTGTAAAAATGATAAATCAAGTTCATAAAGAAAATGTCACTCTAGAATTTTTCACACAAACCAGATAAAGTCATTAATATAATATATTTTATTTTAATAATTTACAAAAATCTGCCAACTAAAATTACTCTTTAAAGATGCTCAATAAGTTTAAAATGTCATTTTTTTATAAATATAATGTTAAAAAATTATAAATGATTTTACATCATCAACGAGTAATGACTTGTTGGCCCAACAAAATTAACAACTCATTTTTCTCATCTGTTCCAAACAATATAATAACATTTTTTGTCTACAAATTTAAAGTATTTTCAAATTATTTTGAACTTAAAACTAATTTTTATTGAGTTAGAAAATTAAAACCTTTATAATAAGTACGTTTCGTGAAAACTGAACATTTTAGTCTTTTAACCTCTCATTTAAAAAATTACAATAATATTTTTTATTGATACAATTACATAACTAACCATTTCACTCTTTTAACCTCTCATTTCATTACTATTTATTATTCTCCTTATTATTGTGTCCTCAAATAGTTTGGGAAAGTGACAGTTATAGCCCTACTGGATGATTAATTATAATTACAGAAAATCTATAATTATAGTAATCGTATCGATGGCAAAAAAAAAGAAAAAAAGAAAGAAATCTTATGAAAGCCACGCCTTTTGTCTGCAATTGAAAAAAATAAATGAGTTAAAAATACCCAATTTGAGGTCCTTAAGTATAATAAATGACATTACCCAATACTTAATTGTTATCTTCCCAAATCTCTTTTTTCTGATAACATATTTTCCCAAATTTCTGACGCCCATTCATAAATCAAAAATGAAAATTATTAACTATTAACTATTAATTATTGTTTGGGGAACAACTTCAAAACAAACGGGCATGCGCATCATCACGGCCTTCAGTGACTGGTTTCCTCACCCACTTGTCATTTTATCATTTCGACAGTGTTTGGTTTCTCTGATTCAATCCCAAATCAGTCTTACCCATATTGAGTTGTTCTCCCTTCTCCTTTTTCTCACTTGTAACTTTCTCTCTGTAAATCCCCCCCTTCCCCCTCTTTCTCTCTGTTTCTCTCTCTCATGAGAGTTCAGAGCCCTAAGCTATGTCTCTGAGAAGCGTTTTTCGGTCTCGGAAATTCTGTAGATCCTTCAAGGAGGTTAGGGCTATCGAGGAAGATGAGCGGAAGGGGCGGCTTGGCGGTGATTCTGACAACGGTGAGTCCCCTCCATACGGCCGTTCATGGGCCACTATGCTGCCGGAGCTTCTTGGGGAGATCATTCGCCGGGTTGAGGCCACCGAGGACCAGTGGCCCAACCGCCAAAACGTCGTTGCTTGCGCCTGCGTGTGCAAGAGGTGGAGGGATATCACTAAGGAGATCGTGCGGTTCCCTTCTCGCGACAGCGGCAGAATAACTTTTCCTTCTTGCCTCAAGCAGGTATTGCTTGGAATTTGATTTCTTTTTTCTTTTTCCCTCTCTTTTATAGGTTATTGGATTATTTGACGTGTGTATGTGAAGCCGTGAAATTTACTCTGGGTTTCTATGAATGGTCCCTGGGACTGGAGAAATGATTGATATTTAATCGAGTGGCGGTGCCCTGGATGTCATTTCAATTTTCAAGTGATTCGGGAATTCTTTGGTGGGTTGCTGCTGATTCCTGCATCATAAATCAATCTCGACATTATTCAATTAAAATGTTAATTTCTTTGGGTGGGGAGATTTTATTTTTTAATAATATTTTTCTGTGACGATCAGCATTGATTCTGGATCTGCGGTTAAATCTAGCAGTAGTGTTTGTATAGTTCGATGAAGGAAAGCGAATTGAGTCCAGTGATGAACGTTTCTGGGTATTATTGAACGAATTTTGGTTCATGAGACGTTTTCTCAGATGTAACTAGTGCAGTGATACGCGTTACTTTGTTATCATTTACTGTCTCTTGGTTGAATCAGTTATTTTATTCATGCTTTTGGCTAATGATGCTTTATTCGTCTACGGACAGTGATGCATTTCATATGTGTTACTTCAAATGATGCAGCATTTCACTGTCATTATCATCCTGTGAGCATTTTTTTTTTGTTTGGTTATTACTCATTTCAATCTTGTATTAAAATCTTATATTAAATTAATAAGGCAAGGAGTGAACAATTCTGTTATATATCTATGACTTGCAGCCAGGACCACGTGACGTCCCTCACCAATGTATTATAAAGAGGGATAAGAAGACTTCGACATTTCACCTATACCTTGCCCTTACTCCACCATGTAAGTAAGTATTGGTAAAAGGCTTCTTTTCCCCCCTGTAGATATCAAGTAATGACTTCTTCACTGCACTTCAATCGTCTTCTTTACTCTTTCTCCAGGGTAGCATATCGACTGAGTAAAGTCTTTTGTATGTGTGAAAGCTAGAAGTGGATGGTATCTAATATATCTAGTGCATGACTCTAGCCATTCTAATTTGAACCAATATGATTTAACTTCAGTTCAAGTGATAGTCAACTTATTGAACCTTACTTGTTCCAGTCATTTGTCTTAAGTATTACAATGTCCCTACCTTTTAAAAAAACAAAGAGAAGGTCAGAAGGTGAAAGAAAAAGGAGTTGTTTGTTCTGTTTATAAACAATAATTGGATGTGGCATGCAGAAGTGGAAAAATGCATGCTTTTTTGCCTTATGTGTTGAACTTCATTTGTTTGAGTACTAATTATTTTGACATCAGAAGAAGAAATATTATTTATTTTAAGTAAACTCACATGGAAAACCTCCGCAGTGAAGCTTCATCTTTCAAGAAACATCTGTTGTAGTAAATCATTATATGTTATTGAAGCATTTTTCGTAGAAGAGTTTGATTTCCTGAGATTTACAATCATTATTTGGCATGGAGCATGGCTTTTTAAGCCTCTTGGTTGTAGCACCCTTTTCTTGTCGCATCTTAAAAGTCTTAATTAATAGTTTTGAGGAGTCTGTCTATTGGTTTAGTTTCTGAACCTCAGCGAGCTATTATTATGTGTAATCTTGTTAAATAACTAAATTTCTGTTTGGTCCGTAGTCCCTATATTACATTGCCTGAGTAGATCAATGAGGAGAGAAGGCATGTAGGATATAATTGATTCAAAGGAGCTTTTGGTTAAGTGTATATTTTTAATTGTGGAATTATTTATTATTATTACTATTTTTTTGGAAAAGTTAATTGTAAGTTTAATGATTAATATTTTAGACTCTGATGATTTCAATGCCAATTTATTTGAATTATTTATGGTATGTGCGTGCTGCATGCTTTTTGATTTCTGTGTTCCTTTATTCTGATATAATTAATTATAAATTTTGGCTCATTTTATTTTGTCTCCTTGTCCTTTCTCTCGCCAGCATTCACAGATAGAGGTAAGTTTCTCTTGGCAGCTAAGAGATATAGGCGTGGTTCTGGTATCGAATATATACTTTCACTTGATGCTGATGACATATCGCAAGGAAGTAAAGCTTATGTTGGAAAGTTAAGGTAAACATTCTTTTGGTGTAAACAAAATACACCCTTCTAGTAAAAAATGGAAAAAAGTTTGAGTAAGATGTTATTTGGCAGCTCTATACCTACGATTTGGATGGTATATGTTCTCAAAATGATTTGCAGAGCTACTTACATTGGTGAATGCTTTATGTGAATATGTGGTCAGTTGTCAATCAATCTTTTACTTGTGTATTAAACTCAATTGGTGAAATCTCTTTACAGCTCAGATTTTCTTGGCACCAACTTCACAATTTATGATAGCCAGCCTCCCCATTGTGGTGCAAAGCCATCAAATGGCAAGGCCAGCCGTCGTTTTGCCTCCAAGCAAATAAGCCCTCAAGTTCCTGCTGGTAACTTTGAGGTGGGGCAGGTATCGTACAAGTTCAACCTTTTGAAGTCAAGAGGGCCAAGGAGGATGGTTTGCTTACTGAAGTTCCCAAACCAATCATCAGGAGAAAGTTCAGATAGCAGATCTCTGGGTGCTCACAAGACGAGCAATACAGAACAAGCTGCCTCACAATACTCAATCTTGAAAAACAAAGCTCCGAGGTGGCATGAACATTTGCAATGCTGGTGCTTAAATTTCCACGGTCGTGTGACTGTAGCATCAGTGAAGAACTTTCAGCTAGTTGCGACGGTGGACCAAAGCCAACCAGGAGGGAAAGGAGATGAGGAAACAGTTCTTCAATTTGGGAAAATAGGGGATGATACCTTCACTATGGATTACAGGAAGCCCTTGTCTGCATTTCAGGCCTTTGCCATATGCCTAACTAGCTTTGGCACTAAACTGGCTTGTGAGTAAATATATTTTTTGGTTTCATTATGCCTATTTATTTTATGGATGTCATAAATGAATAGTTATTCTGAATCTCTTTTTTCCCGCATAGTTGAGTTTACTATTTGATTGGAGGAAGTTGATGTAAATGCTCTTCATTTATCCCTAGGATAATGACATCTTCCATAATCAAATAGTCGTGATACTCCTGGGTCAGTTCTATTGGTCTTGTTTCTATTTTTTTTTTAAATCCTCGCCAGCGTGAGCAGTAAGCTTTGCGGTTTCTGCATTAGGTAATCTTGATTGGTTTTGGGATTGGTGGTAGTCTCTGGAATCATTTTTCCTTTTGTCTAAAGCTAGGTAACGTGGTTGGTAAGCACGATAGAATCATATGCTATAACTTTTTTAAATCATATTTCGTTTGACCATCATCATGCGACCTATTTTGCTTCATTCTTTTTTTTTTTTTTTTTTGTGTTTGGTGTAAGCTATGTTTTTTTGTTATTTTTGGGGCGGGGGGTAGCTATTTTCAAACCTCATACCGGAAGTGAATGACAGGCAAAACGCAAGTGATGCAGAACAGCAAATTCTGCTCTTCTGACCCACCGTTTTCCTTCTTAAGATGGTTGTGCAAGTATCCCAGGCGAAGTCTATTAACAATAATTAACAATTTGTGATTTCCACGATTAAACTTTTTTTTATGAAAAAGAACTAATGTTCGAGAAAGTTAATTGCACTTTGCAGACAACGTTAACCATGGTTTAAATTTAGATCGCAGAGATGTTCAAATTTAGTGTTTCTATTGATAATGTGCAGTAAACCAGGTGGCATACCGGCTCAATCGATTTTTTTGAATTGATTATTAAAGCGTTTAGCCGTCAACTTACAATTTGATTTGATCAAATTGCGATAAAATAGACGAAAATATATGGTGTAAATTTTACTAATTTTTATTATAATATAAACACAGTAATGAAACTTTTTAAAGGTTCATACAAGAATTTGAAAGCGTTTTATAATAAAAGTTATTTCATAATTTATGCATCATTTGATTTAGTATAGGTATCGCTCGAATGTTTCGAAAAATTATTACATTAAACAAGAAAAGTATATATTGAAAGGCAAAATTAATGTTTGATCTTTTTTTTTTTTTGGGAAACGAAATAAATGGACAAAAACTGAAAGAAAAGATCAAATCAAAATTTTGGTAAAAACTTGTATTTTTTAATTTGATTTTTTATTTTCTATTTCCATGACACAAATCATGCAAAGGGTCGCCACACGAGATCATATACACAAATTATTATAAATATTTCAACTTTAAATGTTTCTGGATATCTTTTTTCATTAACAAAAGATCTTTTGTAAACCAATTTTATTTAATTTCGTTTTAATATTTTTTTTGTAACAAAAGATATTTTATTTAAATAATCATACATTTATTGAACAAAAAAAGAAGAAAATTTCATTAATATCTTCCATCTTCATTTAATGTTGATAATGTACACCGCACGGACGTTTTGCCTGGTACAAAGGATAAATATCCAAACTGAAACATAAACTCTACACACTGAGCTTTTGTACCTTTTTTGGCAAAAGTGTTTTCCACTTTAACTATCTTCAGCATTTGATCTTGTGATCATACATGTAGATTTTACTTATCTTTTAAATTATCTTTCAACAACTAATTTTGCACTCGGATTATTTGGTTTAATCTTAAGCACACTGCACATTTTGTTCTAAAACAGGTAGGCTGTATCAGCCTATGCTCAGCTCTATAGGCGTATTTCAGCTTTACTGGCATTCTAAACCTCAAAAGCACTTAATTGTGTTTTGCAGCTGAAGTCTATCAGGGCATTTATCATCGAAATCCTTTTTGGCAGAAAAATATGTATTTCCGCAGAACTATTTCTTCACAGAAAAGTAACTTAACACCTGCCTCTATGTATTTTGTCCTCAATGAAAATGCTTTACTTCTCTCTTGACCCCCCAGTACTGACAAAATATTAAAACTTAACCATAAATCCATAAGAATTTCTAATAATATTAAATAACAATAAAAAAATATTCTAAATTACAAAATATTGTTTTTTAAAAAATTACCTAGACCACACTAAACCAGTCTGGATGGTCTAGCCACTTAGTCTCCAATCCAGTACAGTCTAATCCGCTTTTCTATATTCCTTCACTTAGACTAGATTGAACCACCTCGGGTTGGACCGAACTACTACTGGGTAAAGCATAGACCTAGTCAAGGACACAGTATTGATTTAAAAAAAAGAAGAAGAAAATTTTAGTTTTAAACTTTTAACTCAAAACATATGCAAGTGGTGAAAAGAGGGGCGTTGTGATTTATCCGAAAAAAGAAAGAAAGAAAAAGGAGTGTTGCAATAAAAAGCAAAGGATGACTTGAAGAGAGATACGTAAATAAGAAAAAGAATGAGAACCAGTGCAGCAAAGTTTTAATGTTTTACTATAAGAGATTACGAGAATACATAGGATAACGATATTTGAGATGTAAAAGTAAAATGCCACCCCAAGAGTACCAAAGAATTTCTCTTGCCCATATGTCTCAACTCTCAACCTATCCGTTCCTCCTAAATGGTTTTGAATCAATAAAGAATGAGTTGAGCAAAACTTGAGCACAATTTATAAATGTTTGTCCTCATAACCACATTGCTTTGGATGTTCTCTTTCTTTTCTCTGTCTTTAATCCTCAATTTATGTATTTATTGGAGAATAGCAAAAATTAATAAAACTTCACTAAGTTAAATCCGATTCAAATATAGATCAATGAGACAAACATGTTTCAGGATCACTCAAGCAAACATGTTTCAAGGAAACAAACTTAACTTAAGCAGACACAACCTTATTTAGGATCCTAGATGACCAGACACACCACCAGCATGACACGACACAACACTTGATACACAAGTCACGACAACAGGAGAAAGTTCATATACAACGCCAGTTGAGAGACTTTGACATAACTGACACTCAAGACATCCTATCGTTTAGACTACTTCATTTCTTTCCACGCAGTTTTGCACCCAGAGCTCTCTCCAGTTTACCTAATATTTGTTGATTTGGAATGGCTTTACCTGATTCATACTCCTGAATAACTTGAGGCTTCTCATTTATCACCTACACAGTAAAAAGGTGAGTCAGTATCATGGAAGCTAAAGCAAAAAAGAGAACTCGAAGAAGAAAATACATCTACACGAAATGAAATACAAAAAGCGAGTCAGTTTTATGGGAGCTAAAAGTAAAACTACGCCAACAACACTTCTCTGAAATTACACGGGTCAGCAAAGCTTGGGAACACCAACCCCCCCCCCCCAATTTTTAAATAAAAAAAAAAAAACCATTACAATCTCAGTTATAATTTAGGATGCTCAAAACACCATATCCTTCTTTGGAAATAAAACTGAAGAAAAACTCTAAATGGGAGCACTTCCTTTAATGTAGTGCAAAGTGGTGCTGAAATGATGGTTAGCCCATAGTTTTAGCAAATTTCTTTTTTTTTTGGTGCTTTTTTTCTTTTTGGGGGGGGGGGGGTGTGTGGGGAGCTGACAAGAAGCTTCACATCAAAGAAAGAGACCTGAGCTAGTTGAGCCTGGGTAAGCTTTTTCTCCATCCTAGCCTGCATGATGGCTTTCTTTAATTCAGTCGGAACCCGTTCATCTGCAAATACAGTCAGGCATACCATAAACTTTGAAACATATAAATTTCCAAAAGAAGAAAAATGGTGCCAATCATAAAGAGGAAACATTTATTTAGGAGTAGCAAAGAAAATGTCCCACATAAACCCAACAAATTTCTGCCAAAGTCATCCGATACACAACATATACATACTCTATAATTATTCATTCGAAGAACATGCAAAATCCCAGAGAAAAAATATCCAGATCCATTGGATTGAGTAAAAAAAATGTCTAGCAGTATACAGTCATTACAAATTTAACTGGTTTTCCAAAGAAAATCCTTCCATGATCAACATCCCCCTATTACATTAGGGGAACAAATGCGTTTCTCAATAACAGACAGAATTTGCAGTAAGTGAAAACATGGAAATTAACCTACAGTATGCATACACCATGGGTAATATCAGTCGAGCACAAAAAAGTATTGCCTGACTGCTTGTTATATATGGACTTATACAGAAGGCAGAAAAACCTTGAAATGGTTGGCTCACTCTACCAAGAGGAACCACAAAACTCAAGGAAACTTGGGCAACGAAGGATAATGCAACAATCCTAATTTTTTTTTGGGGGCAAATTATCATATTTCAACATTCATAGTTTAAATGATCTCAAGGCCTGAACAAAAATTTTTAGATTGAGAAAAAATATGGACAAGTCAAACAAGTGTTCTCCACATTTCTCATTCCTCTGCTTTCATTTCTATCTCCATCTTGGTACCTAGAGCTTGATTGCAATTTGCATGTTAAGTTGCACTAGTTTTCAATCCGGGGCAATTTCTTTGATATACAGCAGAGGCAACTGACAAGCCAAATGATCAGAGCAATGCCTATGCACAACTAAAATCCAGGGGGAAAAGAGTATACTTAAGCAATCATATAAAATACTTATAAAACCAGTATTTCATCCCATAAAGGATTTCGGTTATTTATTGATACAAAGGTCAGCCAGAAACCCAACAAGCACTTCACCTTGACCTTGAAGACGGGTTAAATGGTAAGTCCATCTCATTACTAAAATGTCCCAACACACAATCTGCCAATTTCCATGAGCATCTTTATCCTCTACGCATGTAATAGATCCCTGAACAATGTGCTTCTAGATGGAAAGGAAATAATTTCCCAGTTTGAAGGTTTTAAATTTGAGGAAAAGTGGATAGGTGGGAAACACCCTATATTTTAATTCCCTCTAAATTAAAGATATAAAAAGAGAATGAAATTTCTTTCATTTTTTCAAACTATAATTCCCATTGATAAAATTCCATCCATAAACAATTCCTCCAAGTAATGTCTTGGAAGACTTGGGATAGATAAGTAACTGACATATGGCAGATTTATAAGGAGTCAGTATAATAGGTGTTCAATACCTCTGCATCAAACAACATTTCTTTCTACATCTGAAAATTAGGGAAGCCAAACCATATAGGTTGTATCTATTCAAAAGGTAGTATGACTGTTCTATTACAGCTAAAGACGCACCAAGAGGAGAAAAAAACATAAAAGACGGCATCTACTTACGATGAAGATTCTCAGTTTCTTCATCGAGCTTCTTTGTGTTTAGAGAAGTGCTGCTGGAGGCCGCTTTATTTGTGGCAGCATTAACTGCAGATTGTACAAAATATAAGGTTAGAAAGTACCGCTGGAAGTCAAAGTCACAATTTCGATTCACGCTTCTATTCTTGTAACAGTTGTAAATCATTTAAATATAAACGTCTAAACTTCAGAAATCAAACAAGACAATTGTGTGCCCTCGGCTGTGCAATTCTTCGCAAAGGAAACCCGATTTTACTTCACTTTAACTACTGAAGTTTCCATTATCTCTTCCAGCCTAAACAATTCTACGGACAAAACACAAAATACTATAAACTGACGACACTTGAATTAGATGAGATAATAAAATACAGGCAAGTCAAGCTTGCACATACAGGCACCGACTCGGTCATAGAGTAGTTACTGAACTACTAAATCAAAATTTTACGAGAAAAATCAGCAAATACACGTCAGAGAGCAACGGGAAAATAATTGTTTTGTAAACCTAAATACCCATTCTACAACCTATAAACATAAGAAAAGGTCGAACAAGGATACCTTCCTACTGTTTGGCCATCACATACTAAGGCCATCACATACTAAGGCAAGAGTTCAAAAAAATTGTAAATCTTTTATAATCCCCATCCCTAGTGTCTCCGATAGAAATTATCTGAGCCTCAAGACCATAAATTCGTCAGCTTTTCCATTTTGAAGCTGATTAAAATATAAAATTAATTTATCTCTTCAAGGCCCCGATATAATTCTTCAGAAATCATTACAAAATAAAAAGCGATCTAGATAAGATGATCGCAGGTATTCATGAACCAAAGGAAACTCAACCGACGGAAGAATCAAGCAATACATTTTTTTACGGTTTCAATATCGGCGCCGGAGCGACGAGCGGCGTTGACAGCTTTCTCATCTTTCTTCGCTGCCGCTGTTGGTGCCTTCTTCCGGATCACAACGGGCTCCCAATCCTGAGTAAGAGGGCCAATCCCCGCCATTTTCTTCTCTCAAAGTATCTACCTTTCTGCGTTCCGTGTGAGGATGGATGACGAAGAATGCCCTTTCCGTTCTTATTATATGCCCTGGTTTGGGGCTTTGGGCCAGCCCTGGGCTGTTTGACATTCTCAGTAGACAAAAACGCCCCTCTCTTTAACAGAAAATCCAAATCCGATTATTTTTTCAACTGGGTGTAAAATAGCCCAGGGGCAAAAACCCTTTCATCCGCCGGAAACCTAGAGCACTGATTAAAGTTAAAATAATATTTGTATACGAAGACCTAAATTTGAAGAGTGTAATTATTAATGATGTACGCTGGTCAAAAAAAATTATTAATGATGTACAATAACCATCAATATGAAAACTATTTATATATAGCAGAAGGTATGTTGTATACAGTAAAAAAAAAGTTGTACTCACAAATCAGTTTAAATCTAAGTTTTCTTAGCCATTTTGAGATTTTTTAGACCAAATTTTCCAAAAATTAATTTAGCTAATTATTTATTAAAAATATGATTTTATTTTTTTAAAATATTCTTTTTAGTCATTTGCATAGAATATTATTACTTACAAATTTTTTTTTATATACACAATTAGTTAAAAAGTTAAGGAAAAATTATAAATTTTAAAAATAAAGTAAATTAAAATTTTATATTTATAAATGAAGGAATTTTTTTCCTATTAATTCATAAATTTCAAAGGACATGCATAGAGGAGTAATAACCATTTTCGTATTTCAGAAAATACATAACAACAATAAAAGTTAAAAAAAAAAAAATAATATGACCAACTTTTTTTAGGTGAAACCAAGATATCTCGACTTACATTAGACCTATACTAATTGTTTTATGGATAAAAATCTTTCAGTCGAATCAAATAAAATCAAATTTTATAAATTAAAACTACTAGTTTTAAATTTTAGACGTTAAAACTAAAACAAAATCAAATTTCTGAGCGCAAAAATGGAATTTTTTGTTTTGGTACAAAGTGAAGATGGTACCAACACTTCAAACACTTGTTGCTAGCGGGTCAGGCCCTTACAAATGGCGAAACAAAAGTTTGAATGGCCGTTTGGAGGAATGTCAGTATTATAGGTTTGCCTTCCCAAATAAAACATCTATGTTCAACAAATAAAAATTAATCTAGTTGACAAGAACTCAGCTCATAACTTATAAGATTGTGAAATTGAATCCCACTGTTGATGTAAGGACTTTATTGGTGAATAATATGTAAATGCTTCTGTAAGCGTTTTTGGAAATCTTAAAATCCAACTCACCTGAACTTTTTTTACAGCAAAAAAAAATCTATATTCAAAATTTTAAATACGTTTATATAAAAAATTTATAAAAAATTAGGGGAAAAATAAGACGCCGCCTAACTCCTCCCTCCTTCACCCGTTGATCTTCTCCCGTCGCCGAACTGATTGGCCACCGTCGCCACAATTCATCAGGGCTACTGCCGTGAAAGCCGCCCAAGGCAGTCTTACAAGTGAACTACTACTACCCGTCGTCGGAGATTTGAAAAAACCTAGCTCGTGCCTCCCGTCATCAGAGATTATATCGCACTCGCTGTTGACCTCGCTGTCACCAACGCTTCTTAACACGGGGGCGCCTCTTGCCGTCGCCGTAACAGAACCAACTCGGGCGAGAAGAAGTCTGGGTTTGCTGGAACCTCTCCGAAATTGAACATGTAAGAAAATCAATTCTTTTACATGAGAAGAAGAACTTCGTGGTTAGCTTGTTATCCTAGTTCTTGTCTAAATTCGATCGTTTCTCGTAATTGATGTAACTTATGTCTTTTTGTTGATAGCGAGTTGAAGCGCAATGTCCAAATCTTGCAAGGGGTTAGCTATGGAACTCGTCAAGTGTCTCAGCGAATCGGACTGTATTAAGGTTCGTCTGGATTATTGTATTTATGAAATGATTAAATTCGGGATGAATATTTGTCTGTAAGTCTGAAATGTTGAGTTTCAATGCTGTAAGAATGACATTGCGTATATTTCGATGGAAAAATTAGGTTGAGAATCGATCCTATAGGGAGTGTGCGGGAGAGAAGGCCCCATCAATACCTAGTGAGTGTGTTGGACTGAGGGAAACTTATTTCAATTGCAAAAGAGGCCAGGTAAGAGGCTATCTTCTTCCTTGATTAATCATACTTCCTTGTTCTATGATTTCAAATGCATACCCATACTGTTTATTTATTTAGGACTAAGTCAGCAGTTTTATCCCTAATTATATTTTGGTATACAAGTTAATGCCGAAACTCAAACTCGAGCAACAAAGTAAGCAATTTTATCCCTAATTATATTTTGGTATACAAGTTGATGCCGAAACTCAAACTTGAGCCCCTATTTCCTGCTCAAAGGAGGGTAACTTCTTTCCTAGTCTAAACCGATTGACTGCCTGTCTAAGCACTTAACATACTTCATTTTCAGTGAAAAATTTAATGTGATTGGGAAACGGCAGGATTAACATGTAACCTGTTTGACGTGTGCAGAAATTTACAATTATAAGTGTTGAATCATTTGGGATTGACTGCTTTCATTACTCTGTTTTGTTGTTTCGTAACCAGTTGGTAAATCCTAACACTCCCATCTCATGGGAGTTTGTCAAAACCATCCATTACTCCTGCAGATTGGAAGTTGAGATTATGGAAATTATTGGGTAACTTTTATGTACTCGAAAAAGAAAATTTTATATATTTGAGAATGCTATATTAGATTCTGTGTATGATATTGAAGCGATGGAGACGGGTGATAATCTCTAGAGGACCATTTTAAAAATTATTCAAAGTGGTGGGGACAAAGAGTCGTGATTGACTTTCCATGTTATTGAATATTTGCAGTTCCTTTGTGCGTTTACTTTTGGAGATACTGGTAGAAAATGGTTGGATAGGCATGAACCATATATTCTCCCGTCTGATGGACTAAGATATTGGCTGAAAATCAGTGAAATCCTCTTTGTGAACTTGGTACTTTTATTCTATAGGATAAAATTATCTAAGCATCTAGGCTAGGGTGGTCCTGCATATGGTTGTAGTTCTAATATTACAGTTTCTTTAAGCAAGAGATTTTGAGCAAAAAGCGACCTTAAATTTATTACTGCTTTGGAAGATACAACTGATTTAGTTTGTGGTAATACAGTTCATCTGTTGTCTGCAAGGAAACATTGCCTTGTTCAAAACATTTTGATTGTGATTGGACCTGAGTTTTTAAACAGATCAATCTCTGTTTTGCTTATGAACTTTTAGGTTAATCCTTTTTGTGTGGACATAACTTAGGTATCGTTCTTTGGTATTTGTTATTCAAAGGAGCTAATGATATGCTGCTGGTTAGAGAAAATGTTCACATGTTTTTGTTTAACTGAAAAACTTTATAATGAACACTTTAAGTACTGCGTCTTAGTTTTGTCACGTTATATTTGCACAAGAGAATTTAAAGTTGGTTTAGACTTGAATTTTCATTATTTATATAATTATTTTTGGAAGTTTTGTGTTGATTCTTGAATAACTCGATCTGGTTGTCTTGTCGATGTATTACTAGTTGGAATGCCTTCATAGAAATTTTGTAGTTTGTTTCCATTTAACATTAAGGCCTTGATGTTGTAGTCAAAATTAGTTCGCAGGAACAGCTTATTTAAACATGTTAGTGTTCACTTCTCTTAAACCAGAAAACTTGAGAACATTGATGAACTATGGATATATCGCTCAAATAATAGGTCTAATACTAGACGTAGGCTTTCTCCTGGGGAAGATGCCTAATATTTAAAATGTTCTGGTAGAAAAACTAAGGATCTAAATAAGAATCTGCATTATTTACGAGTTATGAGCAGTTTGACTATTTGACTTGTCCAAACTCCAGTGTGACTACAAGGCTTACAATCTAGTTTGGAATAAAGTTGAAAATGTGACAAAACAGTTCTCTGAAATCTGGCGTAGATTGAAAACATTTCATCTCAATTAAAATTAACGACAAAAGGCCATGTGATTCTCATGTCATGTGGCCTCTTATATCTGTATTTTCATCCTAGCACGAGCCCATCCATGGAAATTGTGAAACAAGGAAGCAGTATCGTGCAATCAATTTTAATTGGTGTTTAATACATCAGTTTAATCCATTCGGGCCTCCACGCCCCCCCCCCCCCCAAAAAAAAAGAAAGAGAGAAACAAAAGAAAACACTTCATGTTGAAAGCTCGGTTCACCTTCTATATTGCAAGAAGGTCCGTACTTTAGGGAGGTAAAATGTACGTCCCCTGTGAAAACTATAATGTATACTTTTTGTGGTAGAAAATATTTAAACGGGTGTATGACTAGATTTTGATATAGCTGATCCTTCCTTTTTCATTATCTCCTCTATCAGGTGGACATGAGAGCTAGGATACGCGGGAACAAGGGTTACTAATGGCTGCTGATGTTTTGATGTTCTGAAGCCTGAACTGTGAAAGATAGCTTTCAAGTTTTTGAGAAAATAAATTTTTTGAGTGAAGAAAATTTTGTTTTACCCACTAGTATATTGCGTACCGAGCTAACCAAGGTATTATTGAAACTATCAATTGCATAATTTGATAATATTGTTAGCTGTACGTGAAAGTGATTACCCCCCCACCCCCAAAAACACACACACACACAAACCCAAAAAAATTTTACGCCTTATCGAGTCATTGGTGTTTAGAATTAAAATCTTTTTGCTGGAGAGACGATGAGCAAAAATGGTGGCCTAAGCTAATACTGCTATGCTACAAGAGAAACCCACGAGTCCAACATACCGTGAACAGTTATGTGGTCTGATTCTCTACAACTACAGGTATAATGATTCATTATAGTTTAATCAAATATATAACTTTTAAGTTAAAGTATGTATTATACTTAGAGAAAGTTGATTTGACAGTCTTTATAGTTTCATTAGATGTTAAGGCCTCGTAGTTTTTTCTTCTTCTTTTCATTGAATCCTTTTTGTTTATTATATTAAGAATGCAAGTGCTTCTGTTAATAAATGCTCTAACACTGTTAATACATGCGTGATGTGACACTAAAAAAAGCTGCACATGAACTTGTTCTCTCTCTCTAAAATACTCTCATTTTCCGCGGCCAAGCATACCAATTCGATGACCCTCTTCTTCAACTTCTACCTCTCGATTAACGTTAGTGCAATGCTTCTGTGCTTGTGGATTCAGGACAGCTTTAGGTGAGGATTGGGCTTCATATGGCATTTCTTCTTTTTTAACGGCCGCAGCAACTGGGTTTCTTCATCCCAATGCTTCGATCTATGTTGCTTGCATCAAATGTGGTTAAGATGCTTTTACATCATTGTGCAGTACAGGAATCTGTTTATATATATACATATATATATATATATATATATATATTCACGAACCATTGTTTCAAAGGCCTTATTTTGTCAAAAGTCTGAATCTGAATTAGATATCAAACTTGAGGTGAAAGAAGCTACGGGACTGGAGAGAGATTCCAAGAAGAAAGCAATGCTTGTCTTTGAACTTTACTAACTCATGCTTCATGTTGCATGTCAGTAAGGATTATGATACGACCTCGGGTATTTGATTGGATAAGTGTTAAATGCTGATGCTACTATCAATGAGAAGAAGTGGAGGAATTAGAGCAGTTAAAAAAAATGAGATGCAGCGAGGAAAAGAAGAAATGCTTGAATGTTAAATATTATGGGGAGACCATATTAAGTGGGAACACGCTATTAAAGAATCAAAAGCTGGCAATTTAGATGTAGCCATTGTATCAGCACTTGAACTCTGTTGCCACTGCCGTTGGAAAAAAAAGAAGAAGAAAGAAATATCATGGGAAGCCACAATGGCCGTTGCCACTGCCGTTGGGGAAAAAAGAAAAAAGAAATATCATGGGAAGCCACAATGCTGAACGCCAATCCTCACCTGATGTTATCTTGACTCCCGTAGAATGAGTTGAACAAGGTCGTCGACCTCGTATGCATGGTGGTGGAGAATGTGAAAGAACCACTTAGAGAGAGAGAGAGAGAGAGAGAGAGAACAATTCTATAATGCCACATCACCCATATACTAACGGTGTTAGAGCCTTCATCAACAGGAGGACTTGCATCTTTAGTGTAATAAATTTGAAGGATTCAATAAAAAGAAATAAAATTAGAGGGACTTAGATTCAAAATCTAATAAAATTGTGAGTGATTGGCAAATTAATTTTCTTTTATATTTAACAGGACTTACATCCAACATGTGAGAATTCCTAATGAAGCAAGCAAACTTCAATAAAAATTATCAGAAGCTGGGTTCTCCCTCGTGAAAGGTTTTGTAAACTGTAGGATGTGCACCTGTTGAATAATAATATTATCAAATTTATCATTGGAAGTAAAGGGAACTTGTGAGGATTTTATCGGCCAACAAACTTGTCAGAAATTTCCTGAGTTTTGCGTTATATTTTCTTCAAGCATGAAGACATTTGGCTTATTATTCAAACGGGCGGTTGCAGTGATAAAAGGGCAAATCTTTTCAAATATTTACCATGTCAACATAAGTATCGGAGTTGCCACAGTTATAATTGTGAATCTGGTATATCAAGATTGAAATAACTATCAAACTTTTTACCAAAAAGAAGTCAATTGTGTTTTATATCAATTTGGTATGTCATGTTTTGTGTCAATCAGTGTGAAACCGCTCCAACAATGAAACCATAAGTCATGGTATTCTCACTTCTAACATGTTTAGCATAGTCAAGATATTCACATTCTGAGCATCAGTTCGTGATGGTAAAGCTAGAAGCAAATGACCAATATACTAACTACCGAGCTAATGGCACCAAACGGAAGAATTTACAAAAATATCCAGATAGGGGTCTTCCTAATCTTCTCCATAAAGGTATAATCTCAATGAAAATGACAACTCTAGTGATGAGCATCATGATCCTCCTTAGAACTCTGATTAGAAGCTCTATTTACTTGATCATCAGCAGATTTATCAGGCTCACCCTGTAAAAATCATATTAAACACAACGTCAAATCATCAGTTAACACTTGAAAAAGCATTAAAAGCAAGCATCAAAGAAGCTCCAAGCACTGAGAAGGAACTCAAAATGGAAAAGAACAGATATGAATCGGTACAGATGATGTCTCCTCAACTGTTCCTCACTTTGTCTGGCCTGGCAATTGGCACCTGTGGTTTTCTCATCAACATTCTCAACATCATTTTCATTGAAATTCTTTCTTTTAAGGACTCTCAAGATTTAAAAAATTTGATAAAATTCACACAGTTCCAAAATACTTGAACTATATATTATAGGGCTCACTCTGGCTCCAAGACACCCTTATTGCAATAGTTAGTTGCCGCCACACACCAGCAACAACTATGACTTTAACATTTTAATGACAACTTCCTAACATTTTGTTCATCTTGCTTTTATCCCCATCATTTATAAAATTCATAAATGGTTACCTCACTAACTTGTTTAATAGTCTCATCAACAACTTCAACACCCTGTCTAACTGGCTCACCATGCTGCTCCACGGGTGCTTTATAATGTAATTCATTGGAAGATAAAGAACCATCTTTTCCATCACCATCATTCTCATTTGTCTTTCCCTGCAATGTTATTTTTAGTTCGATCAACATACTTGGATCGCAGAAACCAGCGATAAACAAATTAAGCCATCATACAATTGAGTCTCAAAGTTATCCAATCATTAAGTTTCTATTTAATCTCCAAAAATTTAATAAACACAATATTTTATCCTTAAAAATGGCAAACTCAGTTGCCTCCAAGCGACTCAGGAATAGCCAATGGATTGACTTATATGAGAGCTTTTTTTTTTGGTTTATCCAGCAAGATTCAGTAGTTAAGTTATTTTAACATTAGCAGCTAATTATATAAACACCAATTTACTTGCAATAAGTATGCATAAATTGAACTCCAGAGGGTTCACTACCTTCGCCTCAGCTGGCTCCACCTCGTTCTTGATCGCAATGGTCGGAAGCCTATTAATATCCCAACCCAGAACATTACACACAGCATTTCCAAATGCTCTATGAGCCCTTTTGTTCTTCGTCCTTGATATTGACATTGAATGCCGCACAAGACCAACGCAATCATGAAACCTCTTTCCGGCATTCTTGTTATCAGCCACACCACAAACCAAACAACGAAATTCCCCACCTTCCCAGCATTTCTCGTAATATTTCCTGAGTTCATTATTTTCTCCAAATAGTTTCAAAAAGAACTCTCCCATCTCCTCCAATTCATCATCATCGTCCATATCATCCACATCATCATCAATGTCATCATAGGCACCATCATCATCACTGTCATCAGACCCAAACAAAAACTCACAGCAGGCTTGACGTGCCTTATACTGCACCTGCAACACCTCAAGTATCTCCTTTTCTTCGGCTGACAACGGATGCATCTCTTGAGTTGGATGGAACTCCAATGGCGGCCATCCTGAGACCACCGGAGCAGAATCTTGTGCCGGTGCCCACAACTATCAACAACAATGATAGTCAACAACTACCAAAATCTTGTTCAAGTCATATTTGTCAATGGTGATCAGGTTGCCACCACAAACCATCAACGACTATGATTTGAACATTTTAAAGACAAGTTTCTAACATTTTGTTTATTTTGAATTTTTCACTCACTATTTACAAAATTCATAAATGGTTACCTCACCAACACGTTTAATAGTCTCATGAACAACTTCAACGTCCTGTTTAACTGGTTCACCAAGCTGCTCCACGGATACTTCATCATCTAATTTATCAGAAGATAAAGAACCATCTTTTCCATCAGCAGCATTATCATTTGTCTTGCCCTGCAATGTTACTTTAGTCCCACTAACTTACATGATCATAAAAGTCAAATACCAACAATAAACTAATCAAACTAACTTACAATTTGAACTCAAAGTTATCCAATCTTTTAGCTTAAACTTAATGTCCAAAAATTTAACGAATACACAAGTTTATTCTTACCAATTAACAAACTCAGTTGCATATAAGTGACTCAGGAACACCTAGTGGATTAACCACTATCAGAGCCTGCTATTTTTTTTTTTTTTCAGTTTATCCAGTAAAACTGATACTAAAGTTATACGAGCATCAGTTTTTCTGGTTAATTATTTAAAAACCAGTTTACTTGCAATAAGTATGCATAAATTGAACTCTAGAAGGTTCGCTACCTCTCCCTGAGCTGGCTTCACCTCATTCTTGATTACAATGGTTGGAAGCCTATTAATATCCCAACCCAGAACATTGCACACAGCATTTCCAAAAGCTCTATGGGCCCTTTGATTCTTTGTCCTCGATATTGACATCGAATGTTGCACAAGACCAACACAATCATGGAAACTCTTTCCGGCATTCTTGTTATCGGCCACACCACAAACCAAACAACGAAATTCCCCTTCTTCCCAGCATTTCTCGTAATAATTCCTCAGTTCATCATTTTCCCCAAATAGTTTCGAAAAGAACTTCCCTATCTCCTCCACCTCATCATCATCATCCATATCGTCCTCGTCATCTTCAACGTCGTCATCACTGTCATCATAATCGACCAAAAACTCACGGCAAGCTTGACGCGCCTTATACTGCACCTGCAACGCTTCAAGTTTTTCCTTTTCTTCCGCTGACAACGGACGGGTCGCCTGACTTGAACAGGGCTCCAATGGCGGCCATCCCGAGACCAACGGAGCAGAATGTTGCGTCGGCATTGGCCACTCGGCACCGGAATTCATATGGGGGTCGAGTCGAGTCCGCTTCCTGATGTCCCTCTTTTTTATGGGCTTCTTCTTCTTCTTCTTCCTCTCCGTATTCTTGAATGTGCTTGAATCTACGGGCTGGAGAGGCCTAGGATGATTAGAAACAAAAGGGTTAAGGGGCCGAGGTTTAAGGTTAACACTCCACTGATGAATCAAAGAATAGGGTCGAGCATTATTTGGGATATAAAAAGGGCGAGGGCTTGGTGGGGTTGGAGGACCTTGATGCCAGAGACTATGAAGGTAAATGACTTCGTTTCTCAACCTCTCTTCATCGTAGGGACCCTCCGAACCCATCGGAAGTTTTGAAGAGCCAAGTCACTGTACGGACTTCGCGTGCCATCTCACTGTGTCATTTTTTCCCTCCTGTCTTGCAAGTCACACATTCATAAACCCTTGTCCCTCCCTGTTCCATTCCAACTTCCTAGACGAGTAGAGCCGAAATCGGGTGGAGCCGCTTAGGTTTAAAAATTGTGAGGGTCGACTTAAATTTTTTGAGAAAATTACAAATAAAAACCACTTAATATGTAAAATTATAATTTGAAACTCTTAATTTGAAAAATAGCAAATAAAGACCTGGTCTCATATTGTAAATATGAAATCTTGGTAAAATGTCTGAAATGCTCCTCAGCCAAATTGTGATTTGGTCTACTAAAGTTATCATTTACTAAAATGAACTTGTCATTTTCTATAATCAACTTGTCATTTGGCATATCCTCGACTAAATTGTAATTTAGTCTATTGAAATTGTCATTCATTATAATAAACTTGTCATTTTTTATAGTCAACTTGTCATTTGATTGAGGGGTATTTCAAACATTTTACCAAGATTTTATATTTACAACACAAGACCGGATCTTTATTTATTATTTTTCAAATTAGAGATCCTAAATCACGATTTCACATATTGGTGGTTTTTATTTGCTATTTTTTCAAAAAATTTTTATTTAAATGAGAAACAGGTTTATAAAAATTGACTCTGTAAGACTGGAGGCTTAAATGGCCAGTCTTACAGGGTTAAGGGTTGGCTCGTTTAAGCCTTTTTATATTTTTTTTTGTTTTTTCAAAATTTGTTTGCATAATTCTAATAATAGTAATTTTTACATTGTTAATATTATTTTGAATATTTAGTTATTATTATTATTTTGAAATTAAATTTTACAGAATGATTTGATTTATTTGGTTTTAGATAATAATTTGTTAAATTAAATTTTAAAAAATGAGTTAATTTGGATTTTAATAATGATTTGATTTATATTATATATGTTGATATTTTTAAACTATATATATTCAGTAAAAAAGTATTTTTATACTTATATAACTTGTAATTCTATAATTTGGATTAGAAATTTATGAGTTTCAACAATAATACTCCTCAAACTAAAATAAAATAATAGCTAGACTGTACAATTTAAAAGTGAAATCCCTATAAAGAAAAAAAGCTTGATATTTTTGATATGCAAGAAGAGCATACTCATAAAGAAAAGCAATTGATTACAGTGATGAAGTTTTGAAAAATTAATGCTATTATTTATCTATTACATATTTGCACTATTGATGAAACTTTTGGATGTTGTTGTTTTGTTGATGGATGTTTATGATGTCCTTAGATGATGATTGATATTTAGATATGATGATATTTTGTATTTGTGACTTAATTATAATTCATATTTATGTCGTTTATTAATAATTTCATTAGTTTATTTCTATTTTTGATTAAAAAAATATAAGAAATGTAAAAAATAGCATTTTCCCCCTCTTAAACGAGCCAAAAGCCTGTGGGTTGGCCTTGAGCCTGTCAGTTTAAAGGTTGAGTCTAACCAATTGGGGTATTTCAGAAGTTTTCATTTTGCAGGGTCAATCATTTTAAACTCGTCGGCCCTGAAAGTGGAGCCAGCTTATATTCTCACCTCTATAGATGAGCAGGTTAGGTCCGGAACTCAGATCTTCCCACTACTCGTACCCGATCATTTTGGGCAAATATAAGGTCTGGATCGACCCAGTTGTATATTGGGTCATTGGGCTCACTTTTGAAGGCCTAGATAATAAATGCAAGTTGGGTGAAATTGGTGGAGAATATGAAAGGGGGGATTAGATTTATATCGGCCCAACTTTTTTTTGGCTGGTTGTTAATTTTATTTACTCTCTTTGATTTTCCTTTTGGAGCATTTTCAGAAAGATCTTATTAGCTACGCTAAGAAAATCCCAAATAGCTTGTAGAGTAATTTTAAACACATTACTTCACAAAAAATGCCGAATAATTTTATCCCTTAACAATAAAGATATGCAAAAACCCGGTATTCTGGTCCAGTCTAATCCAACCCGAAGTGCTCTGATCCTGTCCACTCCAGTCCAAATAAACTATATAATAAAATTAAATCAGACTGGACCAGCTTGGTTGGTCGAGTTGGACTGGGTTTGGGACCAAATGACCAAACCACCTGGATTGGTCTTGTCTAATCTAGGTGAATTTTTTATTTTTCAATAATTTGTAATTTAGGTGTTACATTTAATTTTTGTTTTAATATTTTTAGAGATTTTTATGTATTTATGATGAAATCTTAATATTTTAGGATGTGTTTTATATTATTATAGGTATTTTTTATTGTTTTAAATTGTATTTATCATGTGAAAATCTTGCTTTCCATAAAGAAAAAAATTTGAAAAAGAAAGAAAGAAAATTAGAAACCTGAACTATCTGAACCAATCCACCAGTCTAGTGAACCAAGTCCAATCTAACCCGATCTCGGGTCACCACTGGATTGAATCAAACCACAGACTACTAAAACCAACCCAACCAAAAATCCGGTTAAACTTCGAGTTAGGTTTTGGTCTGGTCCAGTCTGTTTGTTGTACCACCCTACTTAAAAATATTGAATCATATATTGTTTTTTTGGGAGAATTACAATCAAGTTTCATAGAAGAGAAATAATTACTAAAAGGTCCCAATAACAACCTGAGCAGCCTGTAATGACAAGTCTTACAGCAAAGAATAACAAGCTCTGGAACTTGTTTTGTAATTTTTTTTTCTTTCATAGGATTTGATTGTAATTGTCTCTTGTTTTCTCAATGTAGCAGATGTTCTGGGTGGTTGAAAGGTGCATTGAATGTTGCATTAAATTAATGCTAGTAATTAATAGATGTAATAAATCTTAGTAATTGATACATGTCATAAATATAAAAGCATTCCAAAAACTTATACTCCCTCCCTTTTTATATATAAGTTTCAAATTTTTAAAAAAAAGTGTGGTTCAATTTATAAGTTTTAATTTGAGTTTATCTTAACATTTAATATATTTTTTAATTTTACTTTTAATTATTTATTCTCTCTCTTTTGTTATAATATCTCTTATCACAGTTCTCTATACATTCTCTTTCTTCTTCTTTTTTGTCATTTATTATGAGGGCATATCTAAAAACAAGATTATATTTCTAACCTATTTATTTCTTTTGACTAATTTTAACTAATTGTTTGTTATTCGCAAATTAGTTATTTGAAGCTTATATAGAAGACCGAAGGGAATATTAATTAATAAGAGATAGTACTCTTAGATGATATTAAACCAAACACGGTCCAATGACGTGTTCAGATATGAGAGAAGTCTTTCTCTCCCTATATATATATATATATATATATATATATATATATATATATATATTGTTATAAAAGCAAAGCATAAGCGGAGAGAAGGTAAGGGTGGATGGCCATAGAACTAAATTAGAACATTTATCTCTCTCTATTGTGGTACTTCATCTGCCCTTTGACTCATTCAAGGAAGATGAAGAAAGCTCAGGATCGAAAGAGGCACGAAGAATTGTGGGGTACAAATCAAAAATAGAACTGCGGTGAATAAAATGAGCTACTTGAAATGTGTGGTGAAGGAAACTTTAACCCTATGCTTGGTAGAAAGGAAATGGAGGAGAGGGGGGAAAATTTTTCATGAGCTCAATTTAAAAAATTGGAGAAGTAAGGTTTTAAAATTTTAACAGAAGAAAGTTATAAGATAGAGTAATAAAAGTTAATTAAAAGTTTTTAACCACACTTCTTCAATTTTTTAAATTGAGTTCATTAAAATTTTTTCCTCCTCCTCTCCTTTCTATTTTCCTTATACCAAACAGATCCTAAGGTTGCATAATCCTCCTGCTCTTATTGCAAGACAAACTAATAGCAGTGTGAAACTAGGAGGCTACGATATTCTACCAAAAACAACAGTGATTGTGAATGCACGGGGACTACAGAGAGATAAAGATCAGCGGGAGGGTCCTGAAGAGTTTGTTGCAGAGAGATTTGAGAACAGTGAGGTTGATTTTAAAGGCCATATAAATATTTCCAGTTTATACCCTTTGGATTTGGAAGAAGAGGATGTCCTGGATTGTCATTTGGAGTAGCTTCAATTGAACCTACACTTTGTAATCTCTTGTACTGGTTCGATTGGAAGCTGGCAGGCGGTGTAGAGGACATAGACATGAGTGAGGCAAATGTTCTTACTGGGGACAGCTGCCTCTTCATCATCTTCAACCAATTCCATATTACTCTTTCTGCCCTGCAACTACTACTTGACCTTATTATTCTATAATCGCTTCCGTTCGCAGTGGCTGGTTTGATGCATGCTAATAAATTTTATTTCTGAGGGAAGAGTAAAATAATTCTACTTAGTACTAAATATAAGAACTAGTTGATTAATTTGAGTAGATTAAGAAAATTAGTTAAGTTAGTTATTTGTAATAAATAGATATTGTTTTCCTTAAAATATCCTTGCTAATAATATGTATTAGCTGAAACTACTATTTAATAAAACCTTTAGTAGGTGCAACTATTACAAGGACTGCCTTGGAGAAAAATGGATAATAAAATGAATTGGGATTTTATATTTAAAATCAAATTGAATGTTTAACTAACTCTTATATTAAGAACTGGTAGTACTGATGAGCTAGTTTGTATTGTAATGACTACTTTATCATGTCTGCCAATGTTTCCCAGCAATGTCCCATTCCGATATTGTTGTTCAATGATTCATTTATATTCAAGTGATGTTAAATGTGATGAGCACAAAATTAAAAATTAGTATGTTAGGTGGGAGAATCGCCTGATGAACGCCTATAAACGCCACTTCTCTTGCGAGGCTTTCTGATTCAGGACTTACTAATTTAATCCCGTTCGAGAGCTAATAATCCTAATGACCCAACTTCACTACACTTCATTCAGTCTTTCCATTTGAATCCTTTAAACTTATAAGCTCCACTTTTTTTTTTTTTTTCAGGTTGCTTAATGTGAAACTGAAAATAATTAACGAAGAAAATGAGTACTCCAACCTGTTTAGTCACACAAATATTTCTATATATTATCATTATTTATTAAGGGACTGAAAATGGGTAGGAGACAAGTGAAGGAAAAAAAGACACATGCAGATTCCTGTAAGTAAAACACTTGTCGACATGCATGTAATTTCTTGTCCATCTGTAGAATATATAAAGATACATACTGGTCAACATATATTTTTGTCACAACATGCATGTAATTTCTTCCTCTTTACTGAACACTTGTCAGTCATGCATGTGCATGTAATCTTATGAATTTACTTGCACGCATTGCCATTTTCTTTCATTTTCTCATCAAGTTCTTTTCTTTTCTTTTAATTTTTTGGGAATTGATTCGGTTATATGCTGAAAGTGTTGGCAGGATAAGTGTGTCAGAAAATAAAATTAATTAAATGGATTGAAAAAACTGAGTTAATAAAGTACTCCTCCGGGCTCCAGTCATAAATATAAGACCCATTTCGTAGTGTATACAAAAGGGGTCTTATATTTGGAACCGGAGGAGTACAAAAGAAAAATATATTTCATGTTATATTTGTTTTACTAGCTCCTTGTAATTGGAATGATACATGCTTGTCCATGTCAATAACATATGTCTATATCTAAACATAATATACAAATTTAAAAAAATTAAATTACGTATGCATGTATGTATGTTTACAAACCATAGATCCTATCTACTCCGGATCGGATTTACGGGTAGAAATTAAAACCAGGATCGACCCAATTGTAATTGGGCCATGGGTCTGTGTTATGAAGGCCTTAATATGAGAGGGAAATTGGGTGAAATTACGGGCCCATCTATATTTTTTGGCGGAGGTCACAAAATTAGAGGATCGGAACGGATGATAAACTAATGAAATTTCACCTGCAAAACAAATCATATAAATATAATATCGTATACTCATAAAGATAAGACACTTGGACAAATTAAAATGTACCTAAATCTGTTCATTAATTAATTTTTATAATTACCCCTTGACACAGTTAAACCTAACGGGCATACTTTGGTCCAATGCAAGTTCCTTAAAAACTTAATATTTGACACAAACCAATCAAAATATAGAGATATATCATAAATGATTTGAAATTGTCAATCCCTAAGAAGGCGAGTTTGTGTTTGGCCGTCTTATCTAATAGTGATTTTAGATAGTTTGAGTAAAGCATTTTTTTTTAGTCATAACTTGCATATTCATTATCTCATTTATATAGGTTTCGAACTCATAATCTCATACTTAGAAAAGTACTTAAGAAAGAAGGAAGACTTAAAGATCGTGCAAAGCATTTTAGCTTCTATATATTGTTTTCATATTTTTATAGGTCCCACCATAACCTTAGCATTAATCGACAATTGTTGGGTCACTTCACTGGTTAGCTTAACGTGTCATAGTGGCATTGACCTTACCTTGTTGCATTTAAGAAAACCGGAGTGTTGGGATCTATATATACATATAATCTAATACAGTTATATCGACATATGCACACTTTCATTTCATGCATGAAAGGAGCTATGGCTGTAGAACTAAATGAACGCCTTTACATTTCCCTCTTCTCTTGCTTCATCTTCTTTCTCATTGCGTTGAAGCTCACAAGAAGGAGAAGCAACTCCAATCTTCCTCCTTCTCCTCCAAAACTACCCATCATCGGAAATCTTCATCAGATAGGCAAACTTGTGTTATTACACCATTCTTTCCGAGATCTGTCCCACAAGTATGGCCCTCTCATGCTGCTTCACTTGGGCCAAACCCCAACTCTGGTGGTCTCTTCTGCAGATCTTGTCAGAGAAATGGCCAAATCCCACGACGTCGTTTTCTCCGACCGTCCTTTAATCACAGCCGGAGAGGCCCATTTCTTTGGATGCAACGATGTGATCTTTGCACCTTACGGGGAAGGGTGGAAACAGAGAAGGAAAGTCGCTGTTGCAGAATTTCTGGCCTTAGCGAAAGTAAGATCCTTTCAGTTCATAAGTGAAGGGGAAGTTGCAGTCTTGGTTAATGAGATTCGTGAAGCTTGCATGAAGAACAATGAAGGATCATCGTCTTCTGTAGTATCAGTAAATTTGTTTCAGATGATGGTGGTAACTTCGATCAACATAATGAGCAGATGTGTGTTTGGTCACAAGTATGAAATGGGAGAGATAGTAATGGAAATGTTGCATCAAATCGGAGAGTTCAGTTTTGGAGATTTCTTCCCTTCTCTGTGGTGGATGGATCTTGTTACAGGTCTGCTTCCAAGAATGAAGGCCACTTCGAGAAAATTACAGAATTTCATCGACCACATGATTGAACTACACAGCAGCAAGCACATGAATAGTCATGAAAATAACAACTTATTGGATGTTCTGCTTCAACTTCATCACCATCCCATGCCTCACTCTGACCTCTCGCTACTTAGCATCAAGACAATAGTAGCGGTATTTCTCTGTCTGTCTGTCTGTCTGTCTCTCTCTCTCTCTCTCTATATGTATATCTTTGTTGGGTTTGAGGCCTCTAACACGCTCTCTCTAATACGCTTTGTAAGGCCCCAGTTTCTCAAATATTTCTTTCTCTTCTCTTTGAGCATTAGATTTTTTGCATAAAATAAATGACATTTTGATATATGAAATGGTGAAGTTTTGAACTTTGTACGATTTTTCAAACAAAATACGTAGTAATTAAATCATAATTACACAATTTGAGAGTATTTTTCCGTCCATAAATATGTGTTTGTGTTTTTATATCTGTCTCTGTGTCTAATTTACACATCAAAACGCCAGGATATGTTTGTGGCAGGAGTGGACGCAACTTCAACTACAGTTGAATGGGCTATGGCGGAGCTGATGAGACGTGGAGGGAAAATGAAGAGAGCACAGGAAGAGGTACGAGGAATTGTGGGACACAAACCTACAATTGATCAAACCGATGTGAGTGAGATGAAGTACTTAAAATGTGTGGTGAAAGAAACTCTGAGATTGCATCCACCTGGTCCTCTTTTGGCTCCCAGAAAAACTTTAAGCAGTGTGAAACTAGGAGGGTACGATATTCCCCCTAAAACGAAAGTGCTTGTAAATGTTTGGGCAATCCACAGGGATCCCAAGTACTGGGAAAGGCCTGAAGAGTTTGTTCCAGAGAGATTTGAGAAGAGTGAAATTGATTTCAAAGGCCAAGACTTTGAGCTTATTCCCTTCGGTTTTGGAAGAAGAGGGTGTCCTGGACAATCCTTTGGGATCGCTTCAGTTGAATATGCTCTTGCCAATCTCTTATACTGGTTCGATTGGAAGCTTCCTGACGATGGAACATCTTCCTCTGCCATGGACATAGATATGAGTGAGGCAAGTGGCCTTGTCGTCTCCAAGAAGATACCACTTCTTCTGCAACCAATCCCGCACCCTACCTTTGTCCCTGAAACTTGCGACACTGCTTAAATATCTTCATCATCATCGTCATCATTTTCGCTTTTCTCTCAGTTGTTAATAAATGATCTTGCGTGCCTTGTATCTTTAATTTACTGAGTCAAGATCTGTGTGCATGCATGCATGAGTTTGTATCGTAGTTTATTTTTCGTTTATAATTAGGATGGAAATAAGTCAGGCCGGGCCTGTTCCAGCCTTTAACAGGCCTGACTTGTGATGAGGTCTATTGGTCTGAGCCTAGCTTGCGACTTATGAAAGGCTTTTTGTTTGGCCTAAACCTGGCCTGTGACTTGTTAAAAGGCTTGTTTTTTTAACAAATTTCAAACACATATAAATCAATTCAAAATTACAATAATTCAACCTGATTTATCTAAAATACAAACAGAAAATATAAAATTACCAAATTAACACAATTTATAAAACGTGTTCCCTTAGGTAAAAAAAAAAAAATCAAATATGAAAAATTATTAGAAAACATAATTTCACTTTGGTATAAAAGTATCACTTCATCCCATCTCTAGTATAAAAATTAGTTGATGACTAGATCTAGTTTAAAATATGAAACGTTGTTAATCCCTTTTATATTTTAAATTTATCATTTGTTCAAACTAATTTACTAGCAAAATGATATTTGATCTTGTTGTTACACATGCTTGTTTTTTAAAAAGATATGTTACATTTATTATAATTTATTTATTTATTTAAATTAATTAAGCAACTATTATGATAAGAATTAGATTGAGCACACACATATACAGTCTAAAACATAATAGGTTAGTTATATATATATATATATATTCTATATAAGATTAATATGAAAAGCATGGATCAAATTCTTTTATTTTTTTTAGTGCACTCATTTTTTCTTTCTCTGTCCAAATATGTGTCATTATTATACATACATCAATTATTTTTATTATAGAGAATGGAAATAAAATGAAGCATGCAATAAGCTCTGAATAACATATTTATGTGGGTGGAGTTTTCTTAATTAACCAATCAAAATAGAAGATTTCCTCCTGTTCATTTACAATTTTAACCTAAAAAAACAAAAGATGACAGGCACAGACCACCTGACAGGCCTAATAGGCTTATTATCAGGCTTGACCCTAGCTTGATAAAGTAAACAGGCTATTTTACAAGCTTGAGTTTGTTCTGATATTTAAATAGGCCAGGCTATTTATAAGGTGGCCTCTGACAGGCCGCTTGGCCTATTTCCAACCCTATTTATAATGCTTGTTACTTGCCAAAGATAAGGTCCACTCGAAGCCTTTGATTTAGCTATGTGAAGAAGCTCCTTTTGACATGCGGGGTGCATACACACAACCTCTGATCCTTAATATTAATATAAAACCTAATTAACTAATTTGAAAAAAATTAAAAATGTTATTAAATTACTTTAAACTATTTATATTTATTGTTTTTCTCCAAACTAACTCACTTCATCTATAAATTGATATATAATCTAATAATCGATATAAATATTTAAGAAAGATCACATAACATATGATAAAATTTAGTAATTTTTCTAATCTCTTCAAATTAATTAACTGAATCATGTATTAAAGACTAGAGCTAGGTAGTATAAAGAATACCTTAGCTATGCATGCATGCATGTTGCAAGTGCTTTAATGAATGTGGATTAACTATAGGATGCCCAACTAATTAATTTGTTATTTTGAAGGATTTTTCTCTTGGTGGCCTAATCATCGCGGATAATGAAAATATGAGCTAATGATTTGTAAATAATAGTGCTTGATATAAAATTTCCTTAATTATCATATGTAATACACTAGTGCAGAAGGACCTTTAACACCGGTTAAAAAAAACATTTTTACATCGGTTTCACAGGGTCTGATTGTTTAGCTAGTGTAGAAAATGATATTTCTAAACTCACTGGACTCACAACCAGTCTAGAAAGTTTGTTATTCTTTTTTAAGCACAAAAAAATAAACAAACTTTCTACAAATCATATCATTTCAACTAAAAAATATGATACAAATATATAAAAAAAATTAAAGGGAATAACTAAAATTCTATATGATGATAAACTAGTAGGGGAACCAAACCTACTAAAATATATTTGTGTAAACACAAACGCGAATAGAACAAAACTCTTCAATTTTTGATTTCTGTCCCACAAATCTGATTGATTAACGGTTAGCAGTTTCAATGCGTAATTTTTCTAGCTAGTAAATATGGATATAAAAATATAGTTTAGACAATAAAACATAACCGAGCCTTACACATAATATTTTGACATCGAAGAACATATCTAGAAGCAGAAAAGAACAAACCAAGCAGCAAAACATATTTCTATCAAAACACCCATATGCAATGCATTATTCCAGAGCAAACCCCGCAGGAGAAGAATTGGAAAATGAGAGAACTAAAGTTTAAAAGGTTAAAAAAATTATTTACAGTATAAAGTTTAGGAATATTTCATATAATTTAGCTTAATTTATATGAATATGTACTCCATTCTCCTGCAGACAATGTGCCTCTAAAAATTTCACTGAGTCGTAAAATCTGCATTAAATCTGATATGTCTATAGCTATACTCATGAAATTTTTTATTCACCAGATAAATAACTTTTAGGGTGTGTTTGGATAGAATCCAAACCATGGTTTCAGAAGTGCTTTTACGGATTACGAAGTAAATATGTGGAGGAGATTATCTCGTTTTGCGAAAAAGTGCTTCTGAAACCACGGTTTGGGGATACCCAAACAGGCCCTTAAACTAAGTTACTAAGAATGATGAAACCAAATATCTATATTTGCAAGACTATGTACACGTATAGACAAGTTTTCCAATAATTGGTGCGCAGATTGCAGAGGCAACAGGTCTAGATTTCTGACACTAGAAGGTAGGAAACAGATGAAGATTCGGATACTTTTAATTTGTGTAACTGAATGAAAGATACATCTCATTGCATGTAATCTTATTCTTCTTATACACTTGTTAAATTATTTAAATCAAATTAAAATTGTTAAATCTTTTTGTATACATTTGTCAAAGTGATTCCCCTCTATGAAGACGCTTGTCATTGTGCATGTAATCTCCTTTGTGATGTTATGCATAGTGGGTATTCCTTGCATGGTCATATAGTAATGTCTCAATCAATATCATTATCACACTTTATAAATATGTGTGGTTTAGTCCCCACACTAGAAGACTATGTGTGTTTGATTCCTAGTTAGGAAGAGGATTTTGACATCTTGCGAAGCAAATTTTTTTTTCCGGGAGAATTACTATGAGTCTTAAAAACAAGAATGTAATTGTCAAAATGTTATGATTGACAAATAAGTCTTGCACTGCAATTTGTCATTATATTTTGTTCAATTGTTATGAAATTTTATTAATTATATTCTTTCTATAAAACTTTGTAACAATTCTTTCCTTTTTTGGATAAAATTATTTTCATTCCAAAAGAAGATTCAACAATAGTACATATAAATTAAACACTTTTGATGCTAAAATCTTTTAAATACACACACGCTTTGAAAAAAAAAAATACAAACACGTATAGACAAATTGTCATATAGTTGCATGTTGCAGAAATTATGGGAGGAGCATCGAGCCTAGCTAGAGATTCCTGACTCTCTAGTATCCATTGAATGGTCCATACGTCTTTATTTGAATTTAATTTCTTCTTTTTTGAATAGCAGGTATGATCCAACACTTGTCAAAAACTGTTATAAGAGTTTTGTTTTTGATAATAAGTGTCGTAAGGCTTTAATGAAACAAAGAAACAATAGTAACTACCTTCTTGTACTTTTTATAAGATATAAACAGTTGAATTAAATAGATTAAGAAATTAACTAAAATTAGTTAATGTAATAATGTGTAGGAAATTTGAGAGAGTGTGTGTGTGTCCCCCCCCCAATGCACCTTTATTTATGAAGGGGGTGAGTGGTAGATATGTTTTATGTATATTATTTGCAATCTTTAATATAAGAACTGGTTGACTAATTTGAGTTAATGAATAAAATTAGTTAATTTAATTGTTTGTAATATATGTGTTGTCTTTTCTAAAATACTATTGCTAATCATGTATATAAGCTAAAATTACCATTTGATAAAATATTTAACTTGTGTAATTACTACAAGAACTACTTTAAGAAAAAATAGATAAATATGAGATTCCAAGTTAATTAGAACCTTATACTAAAGACCAAATTGAATATCAAACTAGCTTATATATATATATATATATATATATATATCATTTAGAAGCTAATAAAGGTTGATTCAATAATGAAAGTTGCATCGATCCTTGTAAGTTCTTGGAATCAATCAATTCATCAATAGCAGGAGCAGGGCTAGAGATTTCTGACTCTATATATAGGAAACAGATGAAAGTTTTGGATAAATTTCTAAACATGCATGCATGCAAATCTGTCTCCATGTTGAATTGAACCATAAATGCTTGTTGGGGAAAAAAAACAGATGATAGATGCTTCTCAGTGCATACATGTGATCTTATTCTTGTTCTTTTTTTGAATGACAGGTATAATCAAGCACTTGTTGAACATGCATCTAATCTCCAATATTTTTTCCAACTAAAAGCTTGCCGTTTGTTATATATAAACAAGTATATGTGAACAATTAAAATTTCCTGAAGCTTAATATATACAAATTAAGAGTTATTTTTGAGCTCGTGATTTACTAATCTAACCTCCCTAACTCAAGTCCGCCATCAGTCTTAGTGAAAAAAATATGCTATTCAATATGGTCCATAATTAAACTTTCAAAAGACATTTTAATTTTAAAAAAAATGCTTCATTATTCTTTTTCATTTTATTCTATATATTAAACATTCTATAAGATTTATTGATTGTGTTCAAAAAGTTTACTTTTGTAATTTTTAATTTATCCACATTTTTATTATTCCTCTTTTCTAATTGCAAAAACTTATTACGACTTTATTATTTACATATTTTGCCCTTTATATATGGATGCCTTGAGATATTGACCATCACCTTCAACCTCGTTTTCGAACTTCCAACGATATGGCTCTTCATCTTCCCCAGGCTGCTTCTCTCCCTTTTGGCTCTCTCACTAAAATGCTTCCTCTGAATAAAACATCCTCTTCTGTTTCAGCCATATCCAAAAGCTTCAATGCTACTACTTCTCTTAAAATCCAATGCAAGGCCCCATCAGTTATTGTTTCTGATCAAAGCCAGCAAGTTTCTCGTCGATCTGGAGACTTCAAGCCTGATGTTTGGCACTACGACTATATTAAGTCATTGGACAATAATTATAAGGTTTTCTTTAACTTATTCCCAACTTAATTATAACTAAAGACAAAGATTATGGTTGGTAATTTAGTTTCATTTCTTCCTAAGATTATTTCAAATCAAGTGATCATTATATTAGTTATCAATGCAACATGCAGGAACATGCATATGAAGAAGAAAGCAGAATGCTTAGGGCTGAAGTTAGGGTATTTCTTTCAGACACAGTGAATCCTCTGCAACAACTTGAGCTTATTGACACCTTACAAAGGCTTGGACTAGCTTATCATTTCAAGAGTGAAATAAACAAAATGCTGGAAAATATTTACAGCGTGGACAAGTTCAAGAACAAGCAGAATCTGCATGCCACAGCTCTTGAATTTCGACTCTCAAGGCAACATGGCTATGATATACCTACAGGTATAATATTTACATGTGAGGATCAATTGAGGAGATTAAGAAAGCTAAATAAATCACTTTAAAGTATTTTTTTTCCAAATTAATTTACTTGATTTATAAACTAATATAAATCTAGCAATACACATAATATCTCATATAGATTATGTAACATGTACCATAATTGAGTCATTTATTTAGCTTTATTAATCTTGTCAGATTAGTCAACTGGGTCTTATATTAAGAACTAAAGATAGTATAAAATTTCACTTTTGCACTTATATGAATGATAGTTCTTAAATTACTTGAACTATTTGCTGCTGCAGATGTGTTTGATAGCTTTATAAACGATGAGGGTGATTTTCAAACGAGTTTATCTCAGGATATTAGGGAATGCTTTCATTATATGAAGCTTCATTTCTTTTAATGGAAGACGAAACTATTTTGGAAAAAGCTACAGATTTTACCTCAAAGTCTCTTAGAGATTTTATGAGCAGGAACCCTGGACATGAACTGACATCCCAAGTGAAACATGCTATGGAGGTTCCATTACATTGGAGGCTACCAAGATGGGAGGCTCGTTGGTTCATTAGTGAATATGAAAGAATGCCTAATATGAATTCCAACTTGCTTCAGCTTGCCAAATTGGATTATAACATGCTTCAAGCCATGTATCAGGAGGAAGTGAAGTCCAATATAAGGTACAATATACATGCTACTCCTTTCTATCATTATTATAAGCATTTGATTACAACTTTACATAAATTAATGAAGTTAATTAAAATTAGTTATTTCTTATAAAATATCAAAACTATCATCAATAAAATTGATTAGCTACAGGAGATTGGTTTTAGTTCACAAATTTTATAATTAGTTTGGGATGCTAGGTGAAAAAAAAAAATTTCAGACAAAACATATTATATATAAAACATGTTTGTAGTCCTCATAATAGAGATTTGAGGGAGTAGTAAAAATCTAGACCATTCGAATTGAAATCACTAAAACGAAATGGGTAATTTATGATATAAAAATCCCTCTTAAACAATGAAAATTCGCTACACAAACTGTTTTGCAATGAACTATTTTGTCTTTAGTTAAGGAGTTAATTTTTTTTTAACAATTGTTTTCGTGAAAGATTTACAATAGATTCATGAATGATTTATAATTTTTTTTTGCAGTTGATAAATTATTTTTGTACTAACATCGTTGTAATACCCTCTAACAAAAAGGGATTTTCTAGTGAAAAATTCCGCAAGAAAAATCTCAAAAGTATGAGAGAAAAAACTTGGACAATCTAGAAAGAAACGTTTCTCCCAAATTCTAACTATATGACTTTGGATACTATTTTTATTTGCTTGATAACATGGATACTCTTTTTCAAGCAACAATGTTAGCAGTTTCGTTTAGTAAAATAAGATAACTGATCAGTTAATATGGACAACGTAAATTTATACTGATGCTAAATTTTTTTGTTTCATTTGAAGATGGTGGGAGAGAACTGGTCTGGAAGAGAAGATCAATTTTTACAGGTGTAGGGTGGTGGACAACTATCTCTGGGGCTTAGGAATGAAGGAAGAACCACATGTTGAAAAGTTAAGAAGAGTTATTGGAAATCTTTGCGCCATAATAACCTTGACCGATGATATGTATGATGTTCATGGGACTTTGGACGAATTAGAGCTCTTCACAGAAGCTATTCTCAGGTTTGAATTTTAATTGCTTCATTCATCATCCCTTAAATGATGTTAAAGATTGTACTTATTTTTAAGAATCGATTAATCTTACTAATTATCAAATTCTAGGTGGGATGCAAATGACTTAGACAGTCTCCCAGATTACATGAAAGTGTCATTTTTTGCAATCTATAACCTTGTGGATGAACTTGCTTCTGACATTCAGATAGAAAAAGGGCTCAATGTCTATTCATACCTAAAAAAAGGGGTATGATATGTGTTAATTATTTGTTTTATTATACTTGTTTCTACGTACTCTCTTAAGTGTCTTGTTATTATCTATAATACGTATGATATTAATTATTACATTAATTTAACCTAATTAAATATTTCAGTGGCAAGATTTCTGTAAGGCATTTAGGGTTGAGGCCAGATGGTACCATGGTGGAAAAACGCCAAGCCTGAAACAATATTTGGAAAATGGATGGGTTTCAATTGGAGGGCCTCTTTTACATTTTCATGCTTATCTTTTGATGCCAAATAATCGTATCAACGACCAGGACCTGAACTTCATTTCCTTACACCAGCATTCAGATCTACTTCACGTATCAGGACTTAATTTCCGCCTTCTCAATGACCTCGGATCATTTAAGGTATCGATGAAACAAATAAGGCAAGGACCTCTAATGCCGTACTCTTTGATGTCCCTTATAAATGTTCCAACCTCCAAAATATTGTTTTAATTTTTCTGCTAATTGTTAGATTCTACATAAAAATAGTTGGCATTTTCATATCTTATTGGCATAAAATGATGCACAACTTTAGAGTTTTTAAGAAATCATAAAACATTCAAAACTACACTATTTTACGTCCATAAGATATCAGTGCCACTTATTTCATGTAGAACCTAAAGATCAATAGAAAATTAAGAAAACAATATTTAGAAAGTTGGGACCTTACAAGGCGCGTTAGAAGATAGAGAATCAGAGACTTCTTGCCCATATATAGTGGATTCCACCTAACGGGATATAAGAATTGTTTTTGCTGTTGTTTTTTACCTATAAACACACAAACAAATTCTTTAATATGTATATATATGTGTCTAACTTAGCTCGAAATTGATGCTTAGCGTGAGCTAGTGACAGGGGATGTGCCCTCGTCAATTCAGTGCCACATGAATGATAGTGGAGTTTCGGAAGAAGAAGCCATCAAACACATAAAGGGTCTGATATATAAAACATGGCAGAAGATGAATCAACAAGTTGCCACATCTTCATTCCCTCGCGATTTCAACGTCACAGCTTGGGAACTTTCAAGGACGGCAACTTTCTTTTACTATTATGGAGACGATACCTACACTGTTCAGGATTCTGAGTTCAAGGATCGTGTTCGTTTATTGCTTTTGAGCCCTTTCCCATCACTTTTACGTAGGTGTGATAATATTTAATAAGAGTCTTTGAAGCTAAACCATGAAACAATAACTTGTGTATGATCTCGTGTATGTAATGAGATCTAGCTCCTGTGTTTTAATTTATTGCTGGCTTGTTATTTTTAACATTGTTCGAGCAGCATAGAGACAGCAAGCTGATCCTTTGCTGCCAAGACTGATGAGAGAGGGAACCGATTTCAGTACTTATCGCTAACTATCATGAGATTTATATTATTCAGGTACCATTTTAATGGTCTAAATGTAAAATTATTAACTGATAATTTTTAAATTAAATTTTTTTAAAAAATATTAAAAAGTAAAAGAATATTTTTATTTTAAATTCTGTATCAGGTAAATTTCTTTTTTTTTAAAAATTAAATTTTTGCCTCCATATCAAATGTGGACTATTCAAATTAATGACAAGGGCGTGGGTCACACTGTCGAATCAAAGTCGCATTCACGCCTTGGTTGCTTCACGCACCAAAGGATATAAATTTTAGAAATACAATGGATAAATGTTACTCTGTACTTAATATAGGAACTAATTGAGGAGTTAATGTTGGTCTTATATATAAACCTATTTTATATCTTTATCAATTTTTTTTAAAATTAACCC